TGTGCTGCTAAACATGCCTCGCAGAACGCTTGTCATTTACAAGCTATAAAGGACAACTGGAGCCTTACATAGCAGCTGCACGGTGAACTGGCACGAGGTGGTATTTACGAAGGAGGCTTCCAATGTCTTCCTGTTGAAGAGATGCTCCTCAGATGACTGGACATCTGCCAGAGAAAATCTAACGCTCCAAATGACCTTATCTGGTTGAAATTAAGAGTCACCTTTAAAGAGATTGTTTTGCGAAATCCTGAAGGTTGATAGAGAGACGACTGCAAATGCTTGTTCTCATTTAGCATTTATGCAATGTTTTTTTTTTTTGTCATTTCAATGAATATTTTGGGTTCAGTGAGTACAAGTTAACATCTACAGCATTTATTGTGGAATGTTGACATTCAGAATTAGTTTTTTATTATTTTAATAATTCATTCAATATTCCATATTTTGATATTTTTTTGTGTGGCATACAGTTGAAAAGTCAGGGTCACACAACTGTACTTTTATAATAAAGAAAGAAGTTTCATTAAAAGAAAGCCATGGGGTGCGGCCAGCATCCAGAAACATAAAAGCAGGAAATAATATCATAGAGAAGATCCCCGCGGACCCTCTTAACTTTCTATGAAGTTCAGTAATGGCGCTTTTCCACTGTACGGTACGGTTTGGTTCGGTACGGCACGCTTTGGCGCTTTTCCACTGCATGGTACGGTACGGTTCGGCTCGGCTCAGTTATGGCGCATTTCCACTGCATGGTACGGCACGGTACGGCTCGCTTCGGCGCGCTTTAAATGGTACCTGGAGGTTCCAAGCGTACCGTATCGGTACTAAAATGCGACGTGAAACACTGCAGATCACTGATTGGTCAGACAGAATCGTCACTACCAGCGTTATTGTATTTGCGACGCGAGAAACCAAACCCGCTAGATTTAAATAGCCAGTACCTTTTAAACTAATCCCACCCACTTTAAAGCGGCAATGGAAAAGCAACCGAGCTAAAGCGAATCAAACCGAGCTGTGCCGTGCCGAGCCGAGTCGTACAACACAGTGTAAAAGCGAAGCGAGCTGAACCCTGCCGCACCGAACGCAGCGAATTTTGGGAATGTCAATTTACATTTTTTCACTGTAAATTATAGAATGACTTCTTTTTCACTTCCAAAAACTGTAAATTTAACAGTATTTTACAGTAAAATTGCATTAAATGTACCATTATATGTATCACAGTTATTTACCGTATATAGTAAGGAAACTTTCTGTTAACCAATTAACAGTTTTTCACTGTAGCATTTTTACAGTCTTTTACTGTTAAAATCACAATCATTTTTTACAGTGGTGGTTGTAATGTACACCCCAACTTAACTTGAATGATGTTTATGAATATGTATGTTTTTATCTGATTTGAGCATGTGTGTTAACAATATTTTCAAAAGATACTTTTTTTATTTATTGTGAAAATAATTTACAGGTACACCGTATTACATTCATAATGGAAGTATTATAAAATTACCATTTAAATAACAGCGTCATTTTATATATATATCACCGTTCAAAATAAGATGAGTTTACCGAAAAAAAAGAGAGAGAGAAATAAGAATGAATAGACAAAGGTAAACACTAAAAAATATACTTATGAATACAGATAAACATCACAGTGAAATTAAATTTAAAAACTTTAAATGCACAGTATATATTCAAAACAAGTATAGCCATTTTTCAAGACTTATAAGAAAGAAAGAAAGAAAGAAAGAAAGAAAGAAAGAAAGAAAGAAAGATTTTTTTCATCAATTCTGTCATTATATTTACACCCCCTCATGTTCCTCCAGATCACTGGCTCCATAGACTGTAAGTGCATTAGCGTAACTGCGGATTGATGAGCTGAAATTACTGTTAATCGACATTATTATGCCACAAATGCTGTTGAAAGAATTGTATCGAACCCGGAACATTCTTTTAATGATACACTGCTAATAGCTTATGACTTCATGACTTTGTCAATTGGTAAAGGAAGTCATGTTGAAGTAGAAACAGAAGCCGTGGATGGAGCTATCTTCACCCGCCGTCCCAACGGCAAACATAATGAGCTACAACGTTGACATCCTCATAACTCTGTTGCGTTTGTAATTCTCTCTCAGCACCTCTGCTGCTGTTAGTGGATATCTTCAGCGCATTCCCGTGTAATCCACTCATGCGGCACGACAGCCAGTGCATTTTCTCATTGGGAGATTGTATGGCGTTGTGTAACACCGATAGCGTTGTTTGGTTGGTAAACACACCACTGAAAACTGCAGTAACCACCAGATAGGCCAAACCTAATTAGAGACGGTTCACTCCCTACCATGCCAGATGGTAATGGCTGATTTTCCAAAAATGAGTGAGGGCAACTTTTAGTTGAGACATTTAAAAAAAAAAAAATAACAGATGGGTTTTTATCTATCACACCCATGTGAGCTCATTATTGCAGCCAGGAATACATGGTTCTTTTGTGGCTCTTTATAATTAGTGAGAACACTGACACTTGCGCTAAGGGAGGATCTGTGATGCCAGTTCATTGTGGATACAGAGATTGGAAACAAGTAGACATTAGAACAATGCTTTTAATGCAACCATTTCAGTCACGCAGAGCACAAGCACGATCTCAAGTTTCTCCCAGACAGCAATGAAACTCTAGAAGAGCAAACGGAGACCGGAAAAGGTCTGTAGTAATGGGACACGTTTCTTTTAGAATTTCAAAAGAAATGTCAAAAATGTCTCGTGCTCAGGTTTGTTCAGACTACGAGGTTTGCAGTCAAAAGGCAGGGCTCTCAATGCAAACTCAAATCTTTTCATGATCCTGCGATTCATGTCGCAGTTAACTTAATAATGTTTGTTTGAATTCATCCTCAGGAATATTAGGATTACAGTCTGAGACTTAATACTTAAAGGGTTAGTTCGCCCAAAAATGAAAATTCTGAAAAGACTTCCGTTCATCTTTAGAACACACATAAAGATCTTTTTGATGAAATCTGAGAGATTTCTATTCCCTCCTCTGTCCATTTTGACCCCTCAAAAAGTTCATAAAGAGATCGTAAAACTAATCCATATGAGTTGAGCGGTTTAGTCAAAATATTCTGAAGACACGAACGCTTTATATGATGAACAGATTGAATTTAGACTTTGGTTCACATATGAACATTGATTAGCGAACATAAACAGAAGCTCAACCAAAATTTTGGACTAAACCGCTCACTTCATATGTATTAGTTTTCCGATCTCTTTACAAATCTTTTGAAGCACCAAAAGTGGTAGATGCGTCAATGGAGGCAAAGAAATCTCTCAGATTTTATCAAAAAGATCTTCATTTTTGTTCCGAAGGTGAACAGAAGTCTTACAAGTTTGGAAAGACATGAGGCTGAGTAATTACTGAAAGAATTGTCATTGTTGGTTGAACTAACACTTTATTGAAACCTGATGGATTTCTATTCTTCCATTGAAGTCCAATACACCAAAAATGGCACATATATACATTGATCAGTAAAAATATATGTTAAACAAAAGCTCAACTGTACTTGCTTGACACGCAAACCTAATTGGTTCACACATATCAGGCCTCCACCTACCAAACATGATCTGATTATGCATGTGCATTGATCAAAGTGTGTGTGAATAAAAACCTAAATTAAATCTGTTATGTCATACATATAAAGCGATCGTCTCTATAGAGTGCCGAAGTTACGACGTCACTCTGTAGGCCAAAACGCGGAAGTGAGTTAGCATTTTAGCACTACGGTTCCCTCGCTCTAAAGCCTTTGGGATTTTTGAATGGGTTTTTTTGCTAAATCGCCTGAAATAAGGTCTGTGGTGAACAAAGCCTCTAAATATTTTCACGTTTTGATCTATGACATAGAACACACCAGTTATAACCTGCTTATGTTTTTTTTTAAACTTTATTGTGTCTGACTGTGTTTTTTAAAATCTTTATATAGGCTTCAAAATGTATAAATTTTGGATTAACGTGTAAATATTGCTAGACAAAACGTGTAAGGGTCACAACCCTTTGTTAAACACAGATCTTACTTTTTGCGATTTTCGAAAAGTCTATGGGGAAAATGCATTGCTTTTCGACCGAGGGAACCCATGCGCCGCTAGCTTCCGAGTTGTCCTTCAAAGTGACATCATCACTTCGGCACTCTATTCATATGGATTACTTTCACAATGTCGTTTACGTTATGAACTTTTTGAAGCTTGAATGTTTGGTGAAATGGACTGTCAGGTACAGAAAATGTCATTAAAAATAGATATGAGTGAAAGTCTTATGGGTTTCAAATTAAATTAGGGTTAGTAATAATGACAGAATTGTCGTTTTTTGGATGAACTGAGACCAAATCTCTTGAACAATGAAAGAGCCACCTCCAAGGATCGAAAATCAAAACAGTTGGAATTCCCACTGTTTTACTCTGAGATAATTGAACGATTTACATAATGATTTAAACCCAGTGTTTTTAAACTCACAGTACCAACATTGAGAATATGATTTATATTTGAGATCTGCGGTGTTGTTTTCGGTGCAGGTGGTAAGCTGTAATTCCCTGAGGACTGTATCTCCTGCTTCACCACGTACGGCGTCGCAGTGAAAACTGTTGTCGGGTTGCTGTGAGCCTCCGCAGTGGCACCGCCGGCGAGGGGAGATGTTAAGGGTGCCGTTATCAATAAATTATAGTGGTATTAAAAGCGCAGAGTTTGACTCGTGTGGAGGCTGCCCCTGTTATGAAACAGGCTTTTAGCATTTTCTCTGGCACTCCGCTTGTCAGCCCAAATCTCGCTCAAGCATCCGAGAGGAAAAGACCTGAGGGGTTGAGGTGGCCGTTTAAGAGGAGAAGAGGAGGAGGCAAGGGGTGGGGGGGGGGGGGGTTTGTCCCGAGCTTCATCTTAAAGAGTAGAAGGGGGGGGGGGACTCATTGTCAGTCGCAGTCAGTCAGGCAGGAGGGTAAGACACTCCGCTCTCATCTCCCCAGATCTCTGTCTCCCTGTAGGTAATTACACCGTTCCGAAGGCTTATCCTGTGTGCCGAGAACAGGAAAGAAATGGAGGACTGGATCAGCTCGCTGAAATCGGTTCAGTCCAGAGAGCATTACGAGGTAAGAGCACAGTTTGAGTCGAGTTGCATGCGTGTTTGTTGTTTTTCAAGCACACTTCTTCGGAATTAGAAGCTTAATACGCATCTCTCCCTCATCTCGACTCGGGTCATGTGTGAATCTAGCTTTTAAACCGACCTGCTTTGGAATTTCCTCTTCTCTTCTCAGTGTTAATGAAAAAATGATGTTATCCATTGAAAATAGTTCTGGAAGAAGGGAGTTTTGCTTGTTTGCTGTTGCTAATTGCTGTGGACAGCTATGTGAGCATGTGGCGGCTTTTAACATCTGAAACGGTTCATCGCATGCCAGTAAATGAAAGTGCGGACTGCGGCGTTGAGTGTTGACCGTATGCTCACTTTGATATGAGATGAAGATGGTTATGTAAGACTCTCAGCCCCCGTGTTCTGCAATACCACACCCTGAACTCCAGCGCTCCACTTGCACCCCCAACTGAGGGCGCAGTCGGCTTCTGAAATCACTGTCCTGTTGCATCAAGGTGCTGCTGGTAGATGCCCAGGAACGCAGATGTTACGGGGGGGGAGGGGGGGAGGGGGGGGTGGTTGTCAGGGAGAACTGTGGTGTGGTGTTGCACGCAGGAGGGTTGTGTCTCGTACACCTGAGACTAATATACATGTGCCAGTCTGTGTTGCATGTGTGTGTGAGCTGAAAAGCATAGTCTTTGTTTTAGGGGCTCTGAAAAAGTCTTATCCTGGCGCTGCCAATTTGTCTTAACTTCTCCTTTGCTAGACGGCACAGTTTAATGTGGAACATTTCTCAGGGATGCACAACTGGTATGCCTGCTCCCACGCTCGCCCCACCTTCTGCAACGTCTGCCGGGACAGCCTCTCAGGGGTCACTTCTCATGGCCTCTCCTGTGAAGGTAGGTCTTTGCCCATCTCTCTCTCTCTCTCTCTCTCTCTCTCTCTCTTCTCAAATCCGTATATCGGATAATCCCTCTTCAATTATGAAGCTGCTTCACTCAGCGCGCTGTCCATCCCTAAAGGTGTCATATATTCATCAAAACTGCTCAGGGGTGGTCGGGGATGGTTCATGGTTGCATTAGAGTCGGTGACACTGGTTAGAACTACTTAGTGCAGAAGCACAGCTAATTGAGGTGGAGAAGAGATGCGGGCGGAAACGTATTGCAATCAATGCATTGACGTCGAGTATCTGTCTTTTATTAGTTTAGAATTTGCGTTTCAAGGGTATTATGTTTGCTTCTTATATTCAAATTCTCTACTGCTGAGGTGCTTCCACATTAATCAGAGAAAAACTCTTGTTGCTTCTCTTGTTTGAGATTGAGAGGTATGAAACTGCCAAAACACTCCACCTCTCTACCACTAAAGTCAACACCAATCACAGACTATTGTACGTCAGTAATCTGACATGTTTTTGAGTACAACGTATACTCGTTAATACAAATGGACTTGTTGAATGAGTTTGGATTTTATCCATCTGTAATTCAGGTTTGGATTGTAAAAAGGGGGATGGAGCCAGGTGATTATAGAGGAATTGTTAAAAAGTAACAGGGTAATCAGGGTTTGCATGGTTAACTTCAGCAGTTATACCATAACTATGCATTATGTGATGAAAAAGCTTGTTTTTCGATTAATGGTGATTCAAAAATAGCTGTATATTATTAGGGCTGGGTAATAAATATTGATTTCTCGATATTAATCGATTCTCATTTTTACGAACCGATATCGATTCTTAAGTCTCAAGAATCGATTATTCATCCTGTCTCAATTGAATGAATGGGATATTGTATCACGGCTGCGCGCATAAAAAAATCGCAATAATCTTTGGCCTTTGTTACTATTGATATGAAGCAAAGTCTCAATTTTCAAATTACGTCCATTTTCTTTAGAAATTCAAAAACATAAATAGAGTTTTGGTGCTGTGGCGTGAGATCGCTCTGGTGCAGCTGATGAGAAGAAGCAGCGCTGATCTCTCTTCCGGCTTAATAATACCAGTCACAGCGCCAAATAAACATGAATGAGCATCTGAAAGTGTGATCAAAGATAGAGTACAACTTATCGAAATTCGTATCATGTCACATTGATTCGCTCAATCAGCGTTTCAACCGTGGAAAGACGTCAGTTAAACAGCTTGTAATCAATGTATCGTCATATTTACCTCAGAAAACCCACATCAACTCGTTAGTCAGCTAGGAAAAAATAACTACAGAGAGGAGCATTTTGCTAAATATATAGCCACCATTTAAATGTTTATATTTCAAATAATCTTCTTATTATAAAAATAAATAAAAGTGTAATTTAAGTGATTCATTCATTATTACCTTCATATTAGGCTAATGAAGCCTAGTAGGCTACAACTATAGTCTCCCATAGTTTACAGCATTAGTTAAGAGATTTGATTCCCTTGAGAAAAAATGCCATTTATTGTAACTGATATCCAAAATAATCGACATTGAATCGAATCGAATCGTAATCGAAATCGAATCGAATTGCAAGCTTGTGAATCGAAATCGAATCGAATTGTGAAATTTGTCTCAATACATTACCCAGCCCTATATATTATGATTGGAAAAAATGATCAAATTGTTTTATAAATGTAACAAATATACAATATATTATAACTTGTACAAAAATATTAATTCTTATATTATATTGCATTACATTACTAAAAAATTATTTAAAAAATATATTGACATTTAAGAATCAAAAACTTGTAAAAATGACAAAATCACACAACATTGAAAATTGCTATTATGCACTATTCACTGGTTCATATTATTGGTTTTATTGATTGATTGATAGGAGTGATCAGTCAAATCTGATTCATGGCTCAGGTGACTGGCTTAACATTTTATAATACAATACAATTTGACATTTGAGGACAGAAAATCATAATCATGAACACTCTTTAAGTATTAAAAGTTTATCAGTAAATAGTCGTCACATTTATATATATAATGCTTTATACAATTGAAGATTGTTTCTAAGCAGCTTTACAGTGATAATTAGGAAAATTATGTAAACAGAGTTTCATCTTTCATCTTTAAAGCACCTCAAAAAAGTCAGTTCAGTGTTGATTCAGTTCCATCAAATTAGTTCATTTAATCTATAAAGCACTTCTGAAGAAAAATAGTGATGTCATCGTCCAGCTCTGTTTAGTTCTCATCCAATAGTGACAGTGCAGTCAAATCAATAATATTGTAGAATATTAAGTGTCTCCAACTAAACAAGCCAGAGGCAACAGTGGCAAGGAACTGAAACTCCATCAGGTGACAAAATGGAGAAAAAAACCTTGCAAGAGACCAGGCTCAGTCTCCTCTGGCCAACGCACGACCACAGTGCCAGACTGCCAGTCAGAAATCAGATTGTGGATTGGTAACATTCATCCAGGTCTTTTTGCTTTAGGATCGGATTCATCACCCCAAAAAAAAAAAAAAAAAAAAAAAAAAGACAGAAAAGAACGTTTATAAAATATGATATAATATTTGATAGAGTTGATAATTGATTTTTTTTTTCTTATAAACAATCTTGATGTTAAATTTTGTGGCTAGTTACTTGTAATCGACCTGCAGAGGAACATGCTGGCAGGTTAAAACAATCACTAAAAATACCTCATCCAGGGTCATGCATTATGCATACTAATGGTGTGACATCATGTGGAAAGAGAGTGCTAATTAGTTTCAGAGATATGCAGATGGTGCTCATTAAACTCAGCTGACTGTCATTGGCTCATTCAAGTTGCTCATTCACGCCTTAGATTTAATAAGAAATTCAAGTTAAACCCACACTGCATTGTGAATAATGCAAGCCTCACCATCATACAGTAGTCATCCTAATGTTGATTTTCTACTTAAACATGAAGATGCCATTTAGAATGACAGTTTTCTGGAGTCACGTTGCATTAAGCAAAAGTGGATTTGTTGTGTGTGTGGTCGCAGTGGTCTAGAGAGCGATAATTAAGGAGCGCTTTCCAGTGCTGTTGTCACGCGCTTGCGTTTCCAGCAAGCAGACTCGCTACTGAGTATTAATTACTGTATGTGTTGCTATAGAAAGATGATCTCATTTCTTTCAACAAACCTCTCATTACTATCTACAGGCCTGAGAGCTGTTTCTGTTCATATGGAAATTGCTTTTGTTTTGGCTGTTAACTAATGATGCTTTAGAGTGGACTATTGAGTGAACAATCAACATTATTTATAAAAGAGATAATTTTGGTCCTGGATGCTGATTGGTCGATACAGAACTCTTGCTGTAAAGTGCACAATACAGTAACAGTTATCCCTTGTAATTGACACTTAGTGACTTTGCTTAATAAAATAATGTTTAAATATTTAAAATAGTTTGAACATAAAAGGGTAAAAGTTTGTGAAATTTTCAGTGACACCAGTTGCTGTAGTTGAGGTCTTTGCCAGAAGCAGCAGCTCATTTGCATTTAAGGGGACACACACAAAACAGCGTGTTTTTGCTCACTCTCAAAAAGTGACAGTTTTACCATGCTATAAAAAATATCTGTGGGGAATTTTGAGCTAAAACATCACATACACACTTTTCTTACTGTTTTTTGGGTTATTAAAAAATAAAGGAACTTTTTAGCGTTAATGCATTAAAATAAAGAGCAAATTATGCTTTAGGTGCGCCAATGATTTATGTATTTATCATTCTCATACGGCTGCAGAGAATAATAGGAACTGTAGTTAGCTTTGAATATAGCTGCAAAAATTATGGATGATTGTTGTATATATAGAGTTGTAAGCACAGATCATTACTTAAACATTACTTAATTACGTCTTAAACAGCTTATTGAATTCCAAATATAGTTTGTAGTTTATTGGTTCAAAGATGCGATGATCTTTATATTCTTGTGAAATCAACACAAGTTTGTACAATTAAATGTCTAGGGTTTCCATGTAAATTTGCGGTGTTGTAGCCAAGACCATTTCATTCAAGTCTGACTTCGCAATAGAAGAAGGTCGAGTCTGAGTCAAGAATGAGATCAAAAGAGGGTTGTGTCTGAGTTAAGACAGAGACCAGAAGAGGGACAAGTCCAAGTCAATACCTAGATCTGAGGATGGATAAGGTCGAGACAAGAAAAGTGTCAAGACTTAGTCAAGACCAGAACAGTTTTTATTCTGATTCGAGAGAGTGACCTGAAGAGGGCCAAGTCTGAATCAAGACCAAGACCTGAAAAGGGTTGAGTCTGATTCAAGCCCAGAAAGGGTCAAGTCCGAGTCTAGTAGAGGGTCAAGTCTGAATCAAGACAGAGTCAATGAGAAGACCAAGACCATGGAAATATGGTCTTGGAATCAGACTCCATTTTAATCTGAAGTACTACAAACTCAACCAGGGAGGCCCGACATATAGCACTGGACATTAACTTTGCAGCAGGATTACAAAGACCAGAGTTTACTGGTCATCAGGTTAGCAGCATTTGATTTGATGTGCTGGTGTCCCATCAAAAATGCTTGACCATCTTTCCCACCAAGTTCTGACCAGCTTGGCCAGCATGGGAATTTATGCAAGTTTACACCTGTCTTTTTACCAGGGTTCTTTCCAAGTTGAGAGACTTGCAGTTTAGAGCTATCATTGCTGCTCATATTTCACTTTGATTTCCTACAGCAGCCAATCAATAAAGATTGATGTGAGACATGGGCCCCAACAAAAGAGCCAAACTCAATATTTCTCACTCTCTAATTTGACAGAGACATCCTGTCCATTAGCAGCGCATCGTAAACAGTCTTACGTTCACTCAGCATTACTGAATTGTCTGTAAATGGTTTGCTAACAGCCCAGAAAATGACATTAGAGTCAGTTATTGGAGATTTGTTTTCAGAGCCATGTGAAATGGTAATGGTAATGGTAAGACCAGCTCTGATTACAAGATGAGTGCGGAGCCCAAGCGAGATGAAGCGCTCTCTGATTAGCGTTATGAATCTCTGAAGAGGACGCGTCCGCCCTTGTCTCGGCGCATTAGACGTGTCTCCTCATTAATCATTGAGAGATGGTGTTGCAGAAAGTGGAAATTCCCAGTGTCGGTCGGACATACCGCGAATATTCGGCTTCCTTTCCAGTACAGCTCATATCCACTCCAAACCTGGAATACTCCAGGGAGGAAACACTTTCTGTAGTGACTGTGGCGTCCCTGCTGGCTGGGCCTGGCTGGGCTAAATGCATCTCTGCTCTGGTGTGATTAGCCATGTCATCACAAATCTGTGTAAATCCTACAGGACATCAGAAGTCCCGGCAGCATATGGAGGCGTAATGCACTCAGACACTGAGATGGGCTGATTTAACTGGATTTGAGGCTTTTTCAGGGTCTGAATCTTTGGATCTGGGCGCCAGGCAGCCCTGCTTGTACAGAACAATCCGGATCCTTAATGCACTGTGTATTTCTGCAACTTGTAGAGACATCTGCACGGATTGCAGCATCTGTGTCAGGAAACAGCTGAGTGTACATTTTAAGTTCGTAGGAATGGAGGTGGCCACGGTAATGTGCCAGAGAGTTACATTATGGAGTAGGACGCCAGCCAGCCAATCAATCAGCCACTTAATTCTACTTCTGGAAACGACCAGATGAACATTGCTAACTTGATTAGATCTGCAGTGCAATTTAATAGAGGAAATCAACAAAGAACTGGAAGCCATTAGCTTATTGGACCTCACCCACACCATTGGTGAGGACAGTACAGCGCCAGCGTGGTTAGGTTAAGTTTCCAGAATATAGAAAAAAATCGATCCCCAATTTACGACAGATAACAAAATATCTGTTCAAGACAAAGACAAACGGTCTATTGTGTTTCCCACAGTAAACAATGTTAATAGAGATTAGAAATGTAGATTTTTAGATTGCTGTACGTTATAGACCTGAAAATGTTAAGGAAAAAGATGTTATTGCCAATGCTGCATAAATTATGTAAATAGCTTATTTAGAGTATTTAACGTAAGCTACACAGGTGAAACAGTTTAGAAGGTCATGCATAGGTACTGTACATTTGGCTATGAATTAGGCTTGCTGGGTATGAGACCGATGAGACCGGTGTTGAATGGTGTTCAGCCATACACAGATTACATTACTTGCCCACTTTGGTGTCGCCTCCATTGTTAAAATACTTGATTGGCATAAATATATTCATTTTTAGCATTTGGTTTTTCAAATTCCTCAGTTGAGCACTGTTTATTGTGCTTTTCCTGGCGTCTTTTATTACCTCATATTTCTTTCTGCTGAAATGATAAAACCTTGATTGTCATATAAGCATCTCAAGGTTACTGCTGGCCAAACGTATAACTGGTATTTCTCTCTTGCAGTGTGTAAATTCAAGGCCCACAAAAGATGCGCAGTCAGGGCCACCAACAACTGCAAATGGACAACGTTGGCCTCTATCGGGAAGGATATCATTGAGGATGAGGACGGGGTGAGTCGCATAAAGCCTGTGGTTCAGTGAGCTAATGAATAACTTTTAAGTGAACAGAAAAAAAGTCAGGTATATACAGTGCTTAGCATAAATGAATACACCCATGCTAAAGTTGACTAAAAAGTGGAATAAAAAAATTATCTTTTGTAAATTGATCCTAATGCCTTAATTTAAAAAAAAAAGGAAATATGCAACTTTAAGGGCACCATTTTTTTTTATTTTTTTTGTGAATGAATAATGCATCATAAATAAATAAATGTTCTTCCTTAAAATACAGGGGGCATAAGTCAGGACCTATGTTAAATTCCCATAGAGTCAGGCAGATTTTTATTTTTAAAGGCCAGTTATTTCATGGATACTTTGATTTTTTTATTCCTCTTTTTAGTCCGCTTTATCATGGGTGAATTCACCTATGCTAAGCACTGTAAGTCTGGCGGTGTACATTTTAATTATTATTATTTTTTTTTTCCCCTATAGATTGCGATGCCACATCAATGGCTGGAAGGCAACCTGCCCGTCAGTGCGAAGTGTGCCGTTTGTGACAAAACCTGTGGCAGCGTGCTGCGCTTGCAGGACTGGCGTTGTTTGTGGTGCAAAGCCATGGTAAGAACTACATATCCCAGAATGCTTTATAACTTACTACAGAGAGCTTTTGAACTCTAAAAGCTGTCTGTGCTTGGACAGGTGCACACGGCATGCATGGATATCTACCCCCGCAAATGTCCCCTTGGCCAGTGCAAAGTGTCCATCATCCCCCCTACCGCCCTCAACAGCATTGACTCAGACGGTAAGACTTTTTTCTTTACAAGAGCCAGTTCAAGAGTGTATACACATAAATATTGATAAATAATCATTTAATGTATTCATTTAAATAATATTATTTATACAGTAGGTATACTTTATTTGATTGATAACGATTAAAATGGTTTATTCATTTATTTTTAAGCTTTTTTAAATTTATTTATTATTTTTATTATTATTTTGCTTTACTTTTTAGAGGTTATAATCTTAGTAAAATAAGCTGTAAAATAAAATTTAATTAATTAAAGAAAATTAAAAACAAGTTGTTCTGTCCACGTATGTTTTTTTTTTTTTTTTTTTTTTTCTGTAAATAATTTTTTGGACCAGGGTGGAAGTTTTGAGTTATGAAGTTTTCAATATTTTCATAGTACAAGAAAACCTCTTGTTTCAAAAGGTCAAATGTCACTAAAAATGGATGGTTGCCTGATTGCGTTCTTATACATGATCCCACTCTGGATATAGAGTATGATTATGAACCAGTGTGTGTGGCTGTGTGTATGGTCCTGGTTAACCCTATGTTACGGGGACAAAATGTCCCTACTTAGATGGCAATATCCAAAATGGCCTTGTGGGGACATTTTTTGGTCCACATGAGGGGAAAATAGCTTATAAATCATAGTGATGTTTTTTGAAAATGTAAAAATGCAACACATTTTCTGTGATAAATGGGTAGGGGATAGAATATACAGTTTGTACAGCATGAAAAATCATTATGTATATGGAATGTCCCCATAAAACATGAAACCATGTGTGTGAGTGAAGTGTTGGGAGGAGCTCAGGTGCTATAGATGGAGCTCATTAACGTTGCTAATTCCCAGGCTGCATGAAGAACAATATCTTTTTCATTACACCTCTGACATCTTCTGATTTGATCATACAGATCGGATGTTTTTTTTCCTTTCCTGAGAGACACTTTGTTCCTTTATTTTTCTTTCCATCTCCCCGGCATGTGTCAGGGTGGTGTGGAAAGTCACTTTCCCTTAGAGTATCTCTTCCCAACGCATGTAAACATAACCACCTCTGGTGGACCATGTGCTTGGAAAATTCAAGATGAGAGCAAACAAAAGCACTCTCCCATACCCGGCTCTCGCTATCTCTTTCTGCATTATTATCCTGCTGCTGAGGATTCATACCTTGCCTGTTTGCTCAGTCAGCCTGTTTCAGAGCATATGCCACTGATTTCCAGGAAATTGCACATTGCCTTTTATTGACACATATGAATGCTATTTAGAGCCACTTCATGCTCAATATCTTTAAGATTTAAAAAAAAAAGTGTCCAAAAGCTGAAATATTCTGCTTTCTCAGATTGTATGGGTAGAAACGTCCTGTCAACTGAGATGCCATCTTCTGGTCAATTTTTAAAGGAGTCGTAGTGTTATTTGCATGCAATATTGTGGCATCAACAAAAGAGCTTTAATGGCTCCTCTACCAAAATAAAACTACATCTATTTTTTTTTCCTGTTGGTGAACGATAAATCATTGGCAGCTAATCAGAATCCACTTCGACTATAAATAGCTCAAGCATTTAGAGCAGCAGACGATGAAAGCACTTCGAATGTTATTGTAAAATGGTTTGGAGGATAATATAGTCATCGCTAGTATTCTCATGGTACCAAAATTAGTAAAAACCCATCATGCTCTCCAATTTATTGTATCCGCGCATTAAGTACGTTAAGTGTTAAGTACGCAAACTGAAATATGCTACAACATTAATAATGCATTTCCTCCTTTCATCACAAAAATTCGATTATACAGTTTGCCAAAATGTTTTTATTTTATTTTTGGTTATCAGTAAGGTTCCCTTCATCTGCTTTAAATCCAAAGTGTTTTCTTGCCAATTGACCCTCTGTACTACCTGTACTTCAGAAGCTCTTGTTTACTTTTTTTTTTTTTAAGAACTAACTTGGTACCGAAGATCTAGTACTTTTGACACTAGTTATTGCTATAGTTTCTATCTATCTAGGTGTAAACAGGCTTGTCAAATATGTGATTGGGCAGCTTGGTTTTCAAACACAGCCATTGATTCATTGATTTTATCATTTTTGGGTCAAGAAAAAGTATGAGTTTTGCAAGACATTTCCTCCTCCCCTACCACGAATGCTCGCTTTGTCTGGGTAAGCTTAAATAAACAGTAAGGACACTAAAGCCTGGTTTCACAAACAGGACTTAGATAAAGCCAGGATTAGGTTTTAGTTCAATGATCTTGAAACAAAACAATGACATGGACATCTTTTAAGATACACTATATTGCCAATAGTTTTGGGACGTCTTCCTTTACATGCACATGAACTTTAATTACATCCCATTCTTAATCCATAGGGTTTAACATGGAGTTGGTCCACCCACCTGCAGCTATACCAGCTTCTACTCTTCTTGGAAGGCTTTCCACAAGGTTTAGGTCGGAATGTGTTTATGGGAATAATTGACTATTCTTCTAGAAGCGCATTCGCTGTCTCCACTCTAATTCATCCCAAAGGTGTCCAATCAGCTTGAGGTTAGGACTCTGCGCAGACCAGTCAAGTTCCTCCAAACCAAACTCACTCATCCATAGCTGTATGGTCCTTGCTTTGTGCACTGGTGCAGTCATGTTGGAACAGGAACAAAACTGTTCCCACAAAGATGGGAGCATGAAATTGTCCAAAATTTCACTGGAACTAAGGGGCCAAACCCAATCCCTGAAAAACAACCCCACACCATAATCCCCCCTCCACCAAACTTTACACTTGGCACAATGCAGTCAGACAAGTACCGTTCTCCTGCCAACCACCAAATCCAGACTCGTCCATCGAATTGCCACACTGCTCTAGAGCCCATTGGTGGTGTGCTTTAGACCACTGAATCTGACATTTTGCTTTGCACTTGGTGATGTAAGGCTTGGATACAGCTGCTCGGCCATGGAAACCCATGGAGGTCTGTAGCTATTGACAGGAAGTTGGCGACCCTGTGATTTAACATGGCCTGCCACTTCCTGGCTGAGTTGCTGTGTTTGCTTTCACTTTGTTACAATACCACTTACCAACAGTTGATTGTTGAATATTTAGTAGTGAGGTACGTAATTTCACGAATGGACTTATTGCACGGGTGGCAACCTATCTTTGGTACCAGGCCTGAATTCACTGAGCTCCTAAGAGCGGCCCATTCCATCACAAATGTTTGGAGAAGCAGTCTGCATGCCTAGGTACTTGATTTTATACAACTGTGGAAATGGATGTCATTGGAACACCTGAATTCAATATTTGGAGGGGTGTCCCAATACTTTTGGGAATATAGCGTATGTCAGAGGAAGTTTCTTTCAGTTAAAACAGCTCTAAACATGCATTTTAGTCTGGGACTAGGTTTAAGCCCTATCTGAGAAACTGGAGGGAAATGTCAGACTGCAATAAATCGGCAAAACACTAGTTATCACTAAAGTCAACGTTCTTGGTGTGAACAGGTTTTAAGTTGTTGGACAGCTTGGTTTCGGACACAGCCATTGATTCTGGTGGTTTTCCGCTTTGCCATGTGGGAAGTCAAATAATGTGAGAACTGAGGACATTCGCTATTGATCAGAACCTCAAAGCTCCTCTGTCTTTAATTGGTGGAGCACATATCGGATATAGAGATTAGTTGGGGCCAGACAGAAATGTAATGAAAATCAATGGCTGTGAAGTTTCGTCTGATCGCTTTGTGGCTCCTATTAATTGGCTGTTTAAAATAGAAGAAGAGAATGGTGGCAGGATGGACAGATTGAAGACTGTTAAAATGCCAAAGTAGTAGACAGGGATACAGAAAGCACAAGGCTGTGATGGGAAAGTAGGAGAGTCCGTCACGTGTAAGGAATCCCCCGCCTCATTGCTAGGTGGCGAGGAGAGCTGCATCTTAATATGCTCAGGGCTGCCTTTGGCACGTGCTTGAGCTTCGTGACTCAGTTTGCTTCAGCCTGCCTCCAGGAGAGAGTGAGAGAGTGAGGGAAAAGAGAGGCAAGGCTTCTGTTAGACTCAAAGGGGTCTACTGACAGACGTCCACCCACGCGCCAATGTCCGCTCGCAGCCACACGGAGAAAACGCAAACCCACGCTCGAGGGCAACTGTCAGCGTTACTAACACTCATGCATGCTTAGATCCATGTAAACACAGTGCAATACACACTGATGCATACAGGTACACAGAGGTGAATGCACTGTGGTTGCATGCGCACATGCAAACAATTCCTCAGACGGTTGCAATGGAGAGACAGGAATGTGAAATTCTAAAAGATGCATATGGCGAAGCTCATAAACACAGTGGGTTGTTGCTCACAGCTACTGGCATGTTCAGAGACTGTTTACTGCACATGTGTGCACGTGATCACACCGACTGCCAGCATGTTTGGTGACAGCTCCTCATGCCCAGCTCTAATGAAGACAAAGAAATCAAAGTGCTGGATTATTTACACGCTTTAGTACACATCTTTTCCAGCGAAAACGGACTAGGCTGATGGTTTGCTTTTCCTTGTGCTGCTGATGCACAAAATTATTTCCACTTCTTTCTCTGTGATTCATGCTTGTCCAGGCACGAAGAAAACTGTTCCTAAGCAACATTGAGTAAACAAAAATCTTTTTTTAGTATGCAAGTTCTGGCATTTAGTTCCTGTAGTTTAATTTGAAAGCATGGCACTATTAAAGATTGCCAGGGAACACACAAGCACATACTGTATAAGCTAAACATGCAAAAACAAGGCCCACGATTAGGCTATTTCAGTTTTGGGCGTTAGCATGTTAGCTTAGAAGCTAATAATGCAATGTAATTTTACAATAGGTGAAATAAATAATGATGCACAAAAACTTTGTTTTTCCAAAAGCACAGAAACCAAAATTAAAGCCTTTTTTGTTGCCAAAAACCAAATTCAATATTTTTGCTAAGATAACAATGTGAGGCTCTTAAAGGTGCAGTAAGCGATTTCTGAGAAACACAGTTGATATTTGAAATCGACACCCAAACAAACATACTCCTTCCTTCATTGCTCCTCCCCCAAAATGCACAAACATGCTATGCAACACAGGCAATGACTAACAGCATCCGCATCAGACTGTTCCGTTATTATAGCTTATATTACAACAGCATATCTTGGATCGGTAAACCAGCAAAACCAATGTTGCTCACGTATCGAGCAGAAACAACACAACCTCTGCATCCGTTTTCAGGCCTTCCCACTCCAACATATCCCCAGCGCTATTCCAGCTATAAGCTATTCCAATATTAACGCAAGTCCTACCTCTTGCCTCATTGTAACCGTCCTTTTTCAATTATATTCCTCTGACCTCTTTGGTAATATTTACATTTTCAACAGCGTTTTTTCAGAAATTGCTTACTGCACCTTTAAGTGTTACACCACATATCATACATAAACACTGAGTAATTAGACTAAACTATTTTTTAAATACTTTTTTTTCAAATAATAAATGATGTATGTTTATTTATAATCAACTTTTTGCTCGCTTCATCTGCCATCTTGTTTGTATGCAGTGCATTATTTACCTTCTTTATAAATAATGCTGCTTTAGTTTAGCATTTGGCCCAAACAGGGTATCTACATGTTTTAAAAGCTGAGCTAAGAAGTTTATAATTTTTTTCGTTCTTTTCCTGTGACAGGTTTCTGGAAGGCAACCTGTCCCCCATCATGTGCTAGTCCACTCCTCGTGTTTGTCAACTCAAAAAGCGGAGACAACCAAGGGGTAAAATTCCTGCGTCGCTTCAAACAGCTGCTCAATCCCGCTCAGGTCTTTGACCTGGTCAACGGTGGACCTCATTTAGGGTAAGACTTGGATGTCAAAGGTCGCGGAGATTGAACTATTGATCATTGTCTTAGAAGCAAATCAATGATTTTGCTTGTTTTGCTGGTGTTTGGATAGTTGGCGTATGATGAGTCTTTTTGCACTTTTTTACAATCATTTTCCAGATTGTGTATTTTTCAGGTCCCATAAACATTTGTGTTATATTTTTATCCATTTTATTAACCCTTTAGCTCATTTTAATTATCCTACAGTGGGACGAATTAATTTTTAAAAGAACAAATATCCCATGTAGTCTTAACCCTTATGCTGCATTAGGGACATTTTTGGTCTTTTGCAGTTTAATTTCTTTGACCATTTTGGCTGTTTTAATGCAAATGGTATGAAATTTGGCAAAATTGTGACTTTTTGGATACATGTAAAAAATGTGATCCCATTTTGCAAAATATGTATAACACACACTGTGTAGATCAAATAGTAACACTCAGCACCATAAAGACCAAAAATGGCCCATTGAAACCCATTAAAACGTTGTTTAAATCTGAGGCTGTCAGTAATACATGAAACATGATTTTTGCACAAACATCCTTTCATTTTGAAGCAAAAGCATTATATTTGCATTATATAGTGTATTCCACCAGATGACGTCACTACATATTTATTCCCTATGGGTGGAAATGCACCTTATTTTAGGCAATAGGCAATGTTTAATAGGTGGCCATTTTTGGTCTCTAACGCGCTAAGTGGGATTTTTTTCAAAGTGGGACTGTGATAATCCAAATCTAAAGTTTTCTCTTTGCATTTAGTTTATTGAAAATAATTTAATTTTTGTGTTTTTTCCTCTTATACAAATCGATGGTTTCGCAAACAAAACTGGTAATTAAAGGGTTAAAATCCTGAAATTGAATACATTTTTGGTAGTTATAATGAGGACTGATGCTGGTTAAAAGATTTAACTTGGTAAAAGTGGAAAATAATAATAATATATAATATTTTAGGCAATGTTTATTATGTGGCCATTTTTGGTCCTTAATGCACTCAACGGTGTTAAAAATCTAATGCAGCACAAGGGTTAAATAACCTCAGGCATGATTATAACATAATTATAAAAGCACTGTTTAAAATAGGTTTCGGTTGAATTTAGGACGTCAAGTACCCAATATGTATGTATTTCAGGTCAACCTTCTCTCACTTTATTTTAACACTCTTTTCTCTTTTAAAGCCTTCGCTTGTTCCAAAAGTTCGACAATTTCCGAATACTCGTGTGTGGAGGAGATGGAAGCGTTGGTTGGGTTCTGTCTGAAATCGATAAACTAAATCTTCACAAACAGGTGATTGAAAAGTACTCTTCTACACCATGTAAAGCTGTCCCTGTAAGGTTAGGACTTTGCACACGAGTGTTGAGAAGATGTTTATGAGGATTTCTTAATGAACTGGCTCAGTGATATGAACCGTCTCATGTTGGCAGTGCCAGCTGGGCGTGCTGCCGCTGGGCACGGGGAATGACCTGGCACGGGTGCTTGGTTGGGGGCCGTCGTGCGACGATGACACGCAGCTCCCTCAGATACTGGAGAAGCTGGAGAGAGCCAGCACGAAGATGCTGGACAGGTACAGAGCGCACCCTAGCATGTGTCCAGAACTATGTCACATGTATAATATTTGTGTCGTTGGCTACATCTACAGCTGCTGTTCACAGGTGGAGTATAATGACGTATGAGATTAAAATACCTCCCAAACACAGCTGCCCCGTCACACCAGAGGAGGCAGAGGATGGCCAGGTACTAGCAACACATTAACTGCAATGCATACATCGGCTTCAACACCATTAAATGGGTTGTTGACATGTCACAGTGTCACATGCTACACTTTATCTAAGACTAGGTGCTGCAAATATATCACAAAGACAATACATAGCACATCTTTCAGTTGTGTTTCAATCACTGTAAACATAAGAATACATTCAGCACATCCATTGCATTCCGCTTCGCTAACAAATGGCTCTTATAACCTGGTTCTATTTTTTAAAGACTCACAAACTTTTAAGTTATTTGTTTGAATTGGTTTAACGACTGAATTGAAAGGAGCAAATTAACACCTAAATCACTTACTGAACCATAAGCCATTATCATTAATCAAAATTAAGAGACTGTTACTAATGTTTATAATTGAGATTTTTGAGACTTTATACATTTCTCAGACTTAAAGTCCCCGTGAACCGGAAGTTGCAAACGATTTTTCTCCAGTGCTGTGACGTATTTCCAAGTGAAACGGAATATTGAACAGAGGGCAGGGTTTTACTCTAGCGCTCCTCCTCTCCATCTCTCGCTCATAGCAAACTAACGGTTTGAGGGGAGTGGTTAAGCGTTTCCCCACCCAAACTGTGAAACCTACGTCATCAGAAAAAGAAACCGTTCCAGACCGGAAGTAACTTTTCAGATTTTGATTAAAGATTACCAAGGTAAAACATTTTTTTAATATATTTTTACTTGCACGGATTAATTGTTAGTAATTGTAAGACTAGTAATATGCGCTAACAAAGTAAATAGGTTCAATTTTGATTTCATGGAGACTTTAATAATTCAGAATTGGAGCGCCAGATTACATTACTTTTTTTTTTTAGAATTACTTATTCTGCTAATATTTTGGCTAATTTGATCAACAAAAAATTTTACTATGTGTAAAATCCATCTTGCATAATTTCATTCGGTCAGATTTACAGATTTTCGGCAAATTTTTGCGGGCAAAATCCTGTCATTTCCATTGGAGTCCAAGTGATCAGGAATTTCACGAGGGCAAAAGATTTCCCCACGCTGCCCTAATGAAAAAAAAAAAAACAACAATACCAAAATGGATTTAAATTCACATATTTCATACTGTATTTAGTGTACTACAAATCTAACAACAAATTTACTGACGTATCGCTTGAGACTTACTGATATAAATATTATAATTCAACTTTATTTGGAATATTACTTCTTGGAATATCTACATTTCTTAATATTAAGCCTAAAATGTGTTTTAATAACACTAATAGTGAGAATAGCATGATCTCTTTATAAAATCAGTCTTTAAATGCAAGATATTTAAAGTGCACCTAAAGTATACTTGCATAGTTAAATTTTAAATTTAAGTAAGTATACACTTGACTTAAGTATAAGCGTTGACCAATAGAAAGCTGTTTGATTTGAAAGTCACTTCTGTGTGAGTGGGTCTTCAAACATCGCTGCCCACAAAAAAACCAAAACAAAATCTGATTTGACCTCACCTTAAGTGCTCAGATTGACCCATCCAAATCAGTACTGAAAATGAAAAAATATTCTGTAGATTCTCTCTGGGCTTTCTGATTATTGACTGATTTTTCATATAATAATCATTAAAAAAACATTCAAATGCTACAAAAAAGTTTTAATTTCTCTGTAAATGTTACTTTTCTCTCTCTCGCCCAGCTATTGCATATTTATGACTATGAATATGATGTGTGATGAGTATAGGTGGCTTTAGTTACAGATATCTGCTTATGAGGATTCAGTGGCTGCTCATCTCACAAAGATCCTGAACTCAGATCAGCACTCAGTGGTCATATCTTCATCAAAGTGAGTCGTCAGTCTCACACCAGACTATTACATGTAGTTCCACTCTGGTTCCTATTCCACTACTAACAGAACAAACAGAAGCCACTACAAAGCCAGAGTTCCTCTCATCTTCTCTCTTCTCCTCCAGGGTATTGTGTGAGACGGTGAAGGAATTTGTGGCCAAAGTTGGGAAGTGTTACGAGAGAAGCAGTGACAGCACTGTGGAAGCTGATGCTCTGGCCCTCAAAGTGAGTCTGTGATGTTTCAGTCACTGCTCGACAGAAATACGATGCAAATGCAGTGTAAACATTTTTATCCCTTTGTTCTACATCAGCAATGTACGATTCTGAACGAGAAGCTGGACTCGCTCCTGCAGACACTGAATTTGGAGGCCCAGGCCATGACGCCCTCAGCCCTCACCACACCACCCATCGTGGAGGAGGAGGTGGAGGAGGAAGAGCTGGATGAAGAGGAGGATCTGAGTGAAGAGTCTATAACGGAGCTGAAGGAGAATGAGACGGAAAAGGGCTCTGCCCATAAGCTCTTCAGACCCCGCGAGCAGCTTGTGCTGAGAGCCAACAGCCTGAAGAAAGCACTCAGACAGATCATCGAGCAGGCAGAGAGAAGTATGATTGTCCTGCTTGTCTTTTGAATAGAAAAGCAACATTTGATCTGTTGCTTACAGAATGCTGCTCTGAGTATAGGCGTCTCCTAAAACGTGTATTCGTATGACACAAACTGATTTATATTCAAATGAATTAGCCACATTTACATTTAAAGGTTTTAGAATGGGACCTGAGTGTTTTTTCTGTTCATTTAAATGGGGGATCAACATGTGTGTCAATAAATCAATAGTTTTAAGCATAGTCTGTAATACTAGTCTCTAGGGCTGGGGAATTTAAGTGCAGTAGTGTGCAAAAGTCTTAGGCCAGCACTAGCGTTGTTGTTTTAGCAATGTTTTGATGGCCATTCATGTTTTTTTTTTTGTTTTTTTTGTGGTCTTTTTTTATTAAGATACAACCAAAAAATGCAGAAAATATGTATAAAAAAATGTAAAGAAATAATATAAATAAAAGTAAAGCAAAAAGCTGTATTTAGCGTGACCTCCTGAATTCTTTGTCAAAGAATAATAATAATAATTTATTATTATACGGCCTTCCAGTCCGTTTATATTCAGTTCAGGTTTAGGAGGTCAATGCATTAGAGGTCACATTAGCCTATAGAAGAGACTGAGAAATAATTATACATGGTTATTATACAATTGCAATAACAATTTTAAAAACGCAAATATTTTCTATTTAAATAAGTTTGTAAAATGTTTGAGATGCACTTTTGTGTTAAAAATATGGTTTGTTTGCCACACACACACACACACACAAAGTTTGTTTATTAATGTATTAACTAACATGAACGAATCATGAGCAATACATTTGCTACTGTATTTGTATACTATCTTCTTAGTTAATAAATACAGGTGACATTACCATTAACAAAGATCAATAAATGCTGTAAAAGTACAGTAAAAGTTTATTAGAGTAAAAGTAGTGTTACCATATATATATATATATATATATAAAAGAAGATTGTAAAATGTGTGAGATGCAGCACACTTTTATGTGAAAAATATGGTTTGTTTGCCAAATTCTTCAATTAGTTTTCACTAAATTAACAAGTGATATTAGGCCATTTCATGTATTTTAATTAAATAACAATACTGAGTGATAAAAAAGTCCATATTAACTTATTTTTTAGTAAAAGATTAAGGAATACCACATGGGAAAATCCAACATCCACATTATTTCCTAGTGATGAATCACAGTTTTGAATTGAGACATTTCGAAGGACAGTGACAAGTGATTCATGGAAATTAATTGAATTTACTTTAATTCAATTCTAGTTGCATTTCTGTTTTAAAGTCAGTGTGAAGTGATATAAGAGTAATTCGTAATATCAGTCACAAAAAGCGTTGTTTCAGAGCTGGAGCAGTTCACAAGATGCTTGACACTCTTTTTGGGAAGCTTAAAAAAAAAGTACATTTAAAAATGTGTGATGTTCACAATGTTGCTTAATGCTAATGTTGTTCTACCGCCTGCAAAAATCATGATTATGTATTTAATATTACCCAGCCCTACCTTATTGTATGTGTTCACGTGCAGAAGTGCATGAGTAAGATGGTTGTGTTTCTCTGCTGTAGTGGTGGATGAGCAGAACGCTCACACCGAGGAGCAGGAGCTGCAGTCTCCCAATGACTTCAGGAAGGACAGCGAGGACGAAAACAAAGACGACGAGAAGGACGAGGACACTAAAGAACTGGAATCTCTGCCCTGTGAGTTCACGCTTTTAAATCTTAGACATGCTGTCGCTGTTATCCAGTTCCTGTGAGACACGAAGTGTTCTTGCTTACCGGGCTTAAAAGCTAAATCCTCCATTGGGTTGCATGTGAATGTGATGGAGCCGCTGAAAAGAGTGGAATGATGTACTGTACACACACTGTATGGACATTTTCTGTTTGCTTGGAATACATAGATGATTTATTATAGTTGCTAAAATGGCAATTATACAGGAATGGAGTAACTCTGCTCTAGGTACACCACAATGCTATTCACATGACTTGACTTTCCATATAGTGTGAGAACAAAAACTGGAAGTAATATTAGTCATGGTTTTAAACTTCTCAGACTGATTTGATTTGAGGTTATGGGGTATTTTTGCACAAAATCACATTCAAAATGACGCACCACTTGTATGCAACATGATGAGATCAGGTGACTACTTTTTGAAACGTTGATGGAATAATGCCTACTAACATATAGAAACATAGTAGGCAGTACATGACACAGTATCCAGTATGTTAATATTCCATTCTGAACATAAATGTATTACCCAATAATCCTGATCTTGCTCTCTTGGATGGATAGTGTGTTTGAATTGGGTGTGTGTGAATCAGTCCTTGTTTCTGATCTGAAGTATTTGAATGTGAAGAGTTCAGATGCAAAAGCCTCTAAGTGCCATTTGAAATTTTCTTCTAGAATGATCATTTTTATCAAGCTTGTATATTTAAGTTCAGTGATTTCACTTAAATGGCAATGATGATTACCTATTAATTGTTATTTAAGTGAAATTACTGAACTTAAATATACAAGTTTGATAAAAATCATCATTCAAGAAGAAAATTTCAAATGGCATTTAGAGGCTTTTGCATCTGAACTCTTCATGTGTTTGTGTCTGAAAGGGTTAGTGCTGCCCTCTAGTGACAAACTATAGTACATTTCAATTCAATGTAGCTGTTTAAAAAAAACAGCAGCATACATGTTTTTGTAGACATAGGCTTGTAAATGGCCTGTAGACATATTAAAAACACATTTTGACACACTGAAACACATCGCTCTAAGTTAAAAACAAATAATTACTCTTTATCTTAGTTGTTAAAAAATAAATTTATTATTATTATTATTATTATTATACTCTGGTTTATTTTCTATATATAAACTGCCCAAAAGGCTTTTAAATCACACATTAAAACACATTACTCTTAGTTAAAAAAATGAATAATTACTCTTAAAAAGTTCATCTTAGTTATTAAAACAGTTTTTATTATTTTTAATATATATATATATATATATATATATATATATATATATATATCATCCCAATCATCTAAGTTGTTAAAAAAGTTGTTTTTATAAACCCGAGTGCTCTAAATGCCTCTAAACACAAGCTTTTGTCTTACGCAATTGCCCAACAACACAATCTTTTTCCTTTGGAAGGTTTGGGATTTCCTTACAGCTTACAGAAGTGTTTATAGTTGTAAATATATCTCTAGGTTTCCCAGAGGATCCATGCTCTATATTTCTCTCCATAAAGAACATATCTTTGTTTGCTGGACAGTGGCTCTTCCTGTTTACACAGAGGCCTGCAGTCTGCTCATGTTTCCAGCGGGGCATGAAAGTTGGTCCAGTCCCTCGGGGTCTCCGTTTCTCCTTCGTGTCTCTTAGCTGTTAAGTGGCCTTGATGTGTTTTGGTTTGTTTATGTGGCTTTTGTTCTGCTGAATCTGCTGGATCTGTTTTACGGTGGCTTTTTCACTTCTCGTTGCGAGCCAGTGACCAGATTTGCGGGTTATTCTTACATGATGGAAAAAGTTTAGCGTTTACAAAACAGCATTAGATTTTGCTGCGCAATAGACACTTTATTGCTATGATGAATTAATCTGTTGACACATGACCTCATGTTTTTGTACTGTTTTTTTGTGTTTCTGCAGTGGCTAAGTCACCATGTTCGCCTCCAGAGAGGCGTATCAGTCGCAGCACACAGTCCTGCGGCTCCTTTTCCATCACTCCCTTCACCACAAGCAAGGAAAACCTGCCTGTTCTCAACACACGCATCATCTGTCCCGGTACGACCGCATGACATTACCCCATGTGACAACTGACCAGAAAACTGAGACCATGATGAGACCATGTTAAAGGGATAGTTCATCCCAAAATGACATTTCTGGCATCATTTATTCACCCACATGTACTTCCAAACCTGTATGACTTTTGTTTTTCCACTAAACACAAAGGGAGATGTTAGGTAAATTTTCTAAGCTGCTATTTTCATACAGTGAAAGTGTATTTTCCATACGGTGTAATGGAAAGTGAATTAGTGACTTTCTAAGCTTTTGAAAAAATTCATAAAAGCAGTCCAAATGTGCTTAATTGCATGGAATGTATCATTGCAAATGGGCAATTACAAATATGTAAGTAAATTAAATTACAGTAAAAAATGTTACAGTAAAAAGTTACATTAAAAATGACACTAAAGTATATTTTAGTTCACCATAAATGATTATAAGTATATTCGGCTGTACACTTTAACCATATTTCAAAGACAATAGTAGTAAATAGAAAATTGCAAATAAATATGTAACTTAAGTGGGTCAAAAAGCAGCCTAAAGTTCAACTAATTGCACTTAAAATAAATGTAAAATTGAATACATTTTCATTTAATTGTAATTAACGTGTGCAAAATCAATACATTCAGTTTGCAATTAAAGATATTATTTTAAAGTATATATTTCCATAATAAGTACACTTTACCTCGGTTTCACAGACAAGGCTTAAGCTGTTTTAACTGAAAGCAACTTGCACTGACATATTTTTAAATATCTCAGAGCCATTGTTTTGTCTCAAGATGCACACCAGTAATGTTTGTGTGTGTGTGTGTGTGTATGTGTGTGTCTAAGGCAAGTTTATACAAGCTACTTAAATGTTCTAATTGAACTACAGTCTAATCATGGCTTTCTCTAAGCCCTGTCTGTGAAACGAGGCCTAAAAGTACTAATAGTTTACTTTATTATTTTACAAGGAAAGTTTTCTGTGAGGAGCACCCCAAAATTAAATTTTTATTTCCTGAAAATAATGCAAATAATAAACCTACATTTCAGTCTGTTCCTCACACACCTCCGACATTTGGAATATATTGCAATGTAAGTCATAGCGACCATTTTTATGATACTTTTGAGGTGTTTTTGTCCTGTTATCTAGAAAAGAACAGCATCAATATTCTGTCAAAAATCCTCTATTGTGTTTCACTAACCAAATAAAGTTATAAAGGGTTAGAACATCATGAGGGTGAGTAAATGACAGAACTTCATTTTAATGATATACATGATTTAAGTTATGATTTACTGATTCTTGTTTGAGTGTCCTGAAATCTCCCATTCATCTTTTGGCTGGTCTTCAGGTCTGCGGGCTGGTCTTGCTGCCTCCATCGCTGGAAGCTCCATTATCAGTAAAATGCTGCTTGCCAACATAGATCCATTTGGTGCCACTCCCTTCATCGATCCAGACCTGGACTCATTGTAAGAGCTTCACTCTCCTCTTTCTTGTTGAAGTTTATCTTAAAGGTATTCGCAAATCTCACACGAGTCATTTTTCTTACAGAGAGGGCTATTTGGAGAAGTGTGTGATGAATAATTACTTTGGGATTGGCTTAGATGCAAAGATCTCACTGGAGTTCAACAACAAACGTGAGGAGCACCCAGAGAAATGCAGGTAGTTCGAGATTTTAACACAGTCTTCTTTCGCGTACTGCATTTACCAAAAGACCATTGACATGGACTCAGTGGTTGACTAGTATTTCTCTGACAATCCAGAAGTCGTACCAAAAACATGATGTGGTATGGAGTTCTGGGGACGAAAGAGCTTCTGCAGCGGACCTATAAAAACTTGGAGCAGAAAGTTCAGCTTGAGGTGAGCTGAATGAAAGGTGTTTTCAACTAATAACAAACGACTTGAAAAAGTAAAATAGCAAAATAAAATACCTGGCCAAGCTCAAAATGGCTAAACACTAAGCTTTTAATTGTCTGAACCACAAATTATTGGTCAGAAAATTCACAAAATGTAAGCAAATGCAACAAAACAAAAAAAATTGGGCAAATATGGGAAGTTATGTGTGGAGTGAATCACTGTGAAACACGATTGATGCTCCAGAGTGGTGTCTTCAAAAATCTGCTTAGAAATATAATAATAGATGCATCTCTACCACAGTGAAGTGTGAGGAAGGGCTTTTTTTGATTAAAAGACCACTGAATATTTTAAATGTTTGCTTTGTCCCATCTTATATATTATATCTTTAAATCATCTGCTTTTTGAAAATTGTCCATTTGAAAATATGGACAAACCCAGCCATTGGGTTACATTTTTAAATTACATTTTAACCCAGTGGCTGGGTTTGTCCATATTTTACCCAAAATTGGGTTAAAACAACCCAGCATTTTATATATGTATAATGTATATATACATTGTATTCAATAATATTCGAAGGGCAGATGATTTAAAGATAAGGATTTTACAAAGATTTTTTCATCACAATTTATACTTAAAGATTTTATTTTAATAATGTACATTTCCAGGTCTAGAAATCACATTTTAATAATAGGCTACCTCATTCTGTATATCCATGTTTTTCAAGACCATTTAAATGGAAAAAAGAAAGAAAAAACTGGTATTGAGGTAGTGTATTAAACCAAGAAATATATTGTTTTGTATTTGTTTTAGCTCATTTTAGTACTTGTTTTTTTCTTGTTTAATATGTTTCTTGAGGCCTCCTTAAGAAGTTTGCTGAAGCCCCCCTGGTGGGCCCCGGACCCCTGGTTGACAATCACAGATCTTCTCTAGTTGTTCTCTTTCTGAAAAACACAGAATGTATGCCTTGATTTGTGCTTTTAAAAAGTAATGGGACACCAGTTTGTACCATATTTGTGTAAAGGGTCAAAAGTTGTCTAAGGTTGAACAATCAACACAAGATTATCTACAAATTTAAAGACAACGGCTACTGGAACTGAGCCTCTTCTCAAGCAGAATTTGAAGCACTTGGGGTCAAACGGTTGCGTTTGTCCCAGTTTCATGTCCAGTGCTCCTCATGATTGTGTGATTTGATTCTGCAGTGTGACGGCCAGTACATCCCACTCCCCAGCCTCCAGGGAATCGCTGTGCTGAACATCCCTAGCTACGCCGGGGGAACCAACTTCTGGGGCGGCACCAAAGAGGATGACGTAAGTGATGATACTAGAGGTCATGAGGGTTCTCTCTCTTCAAACTGCAACCCATCCTGACTCTCCTGAGTTGGTAACTAAGAGTTGAAATATGACTCCATGTTGAGAGGAAATGCTCTGAAGTTGTTTAATTAGGAGGATGAGTTTGCCCAGTGTTTACTGGTGTTGTCTAACGCGCAGCTGGCTCTGGGCAAAACCTTTTCAACCCGCCGTGACACGGGTCTTTGTTCGCAACAAGTGTCCTCTTGGCAGCTGGTTTGTTTTAGCTCACATGGCCTTGGTCAGGATGAGGTTACCTCCGGACACGGTGTGTGCGCTACAGCGTCTAGTTACAGAAGAGACACAGAAAACACCGAAAATGAAAATGTCTGTGTGGTTTTGTATGGTTGTTTTTTGTCTCCATTCTTGTATAGCACTTTGTTCAACAACCAGTTGTGTAAAAGTGCTTAATAAATAACAAATGAAATGAAATGAAATGGAAATGAAGGGAAGAGTGCTTAGATATCTGTAATCTTGGACTGAATAGTCGAGGACCCAGTTCAAAAATAATTCTTAAGTCCACTAAGTGTTTTCAAAGAGTAATTAAGCCTGTAAAGCATGGCTATATTCAGATTGTTTTTAATTGAACAGTTGTTATTTGTTTAATTGTTTAACCTTAAAGGGATACTTCAGGATTTAGCATTAAGCTTTGTATTAGTAGAAAACATGTAGTATTTTCGAATTACCGTGCTTTCCACCCTTATATTCACCTGAGACGAGAGATTTATGTATTTTTTGTCTGGAAAAAATCCTCTGATGACCCAAAAATCGTCATTTTGTGTCATCGGAGGATTTTTTGTCTGTCCCGCATGTTCTCAACCCGCCCATAGCGGGTGGGATCTCACTCACTGAATGTACACAGTGTCATTTTGGTGCAGTTTCTGATATTTATTTGGGCTATGAGATGAAATTCTGATAGCTTGTAATGTAAATCAATGAGATCTTTATAACAGAGTACCAGATACAATGCATAAAAATATCAGTTGTCACTCTATATTTCAGTTAATACTTAAATTCCTATTTTTATGTTCAAAGCTCTGTAGATTTTACTGTGGGGGCAAAATATGAGGATTTATAGATGGACAAAATAAGCATTGCTCCAAAACCTTTTCTATCATATTTGATACTTGCATTTTAAACATAAATTTTCAAAAGTAAACAGTCCAGTAAATATTCAGCTCGAAATATTAATAACAATACGTTATTCTTATGTTTACTTTATAAAAATAAGTAAAGATTTCACTACATATAGACACTTCTATCACAACCTATACAATTATACTAAAAGGCCTTTTACTTGCCAAGATTCTATGAACTTTTAATCAGAGGACAGAAGGCATGTAGTAGATTTTTCTTAATTATGTTGATCGTTTAGACTTTACAAGCCTCAGAAATGCATATCAAATATGATATAGTAGGCTTTATAGGTTTGTTAACTTTTTAGGAGATGTGAATCTTGAGTGTGAGCCTGTATGGAGCCCCCTAGTGGTAGTAAGCTATGTTCATATTTTTTTTTTTTTTTTTTTCTATTCATGCAGATATTTTGTGCCCCTTCATTTGATGATAAAATTTTGGAAGTGGTCGCTGTGTTCGGTAGTATGCAGATGGCGGTCTCAAGGGTGATCAAACTGCAGCATCACCGTATTGCACAGGTAAGCACAACTCACACACAAATGACAGATCTGTAGTAGAATATGTCAATAATGGTGATAGAGAAGTGTAACTCACCTCAACCCTGTCAGTGTCGCACGGTGAAGATCACCATCCTGGGAGATGAAGGAGTGCCTGTCCAGGTGGATGGAGAGGCCTGGATTCAACCTCCTGGAGTCATCAAGATTCAGCACAAGAACCGGGCCCAGATGCTGACTAGAGACCGGGTGAGTGTTTCTTGAGAAACAATATTGCTATAGAACAGTGGAAGGAAACATTTAAAGGAATAATTCATTCAAAATGGCATCATTAACATTAACGTTCAGACGTTTGGGGTCGGTGTGATTTTTTTTTTTTTTTTTTTTTTTTTTTTTGATGTTAACCACTGTTTGTTTTTGTTTTTGTTATTAACAAACAAGCAGAGAGAAAGTGACGCAAAAGTAACGTAACAAATTACTTTCTTTAAAGAGTAACTAAGTAAAACAATTAGTTATTTTTTAGAGAGTAGCGCAATATCGTAATGCGTTACTTTTAAAAGTACAGTAACTTTCCACAAGACTGTAAACATGATAAAACTGTCATATTTGGTTTGTGTAAGCACTACTGAAGTGTAGATTTCTAGCTCAATGCAGGAGAAAAAAAAACTAATTTTGAGAAAACAGCCTCTAAAGATATGTATTGTAATTTAAATCACTAGTCTACTCTGAAATAAGAAATGTTACGGAAAGCAAAATAGCCCAAAATCTCAAAATTGACCAGTGCTTGAATAAACGGTTTTGCCTGTAGTTTCAAAGATCAGGAAACCAGTCCAGATCTGTCTGGGATGTTTGTGGAAATTGTGTGTATCCTCTTTTAAACATTGGATGTAAAAACTCACTGTCCTTTAAATGACTTCTGTATTTGTTTTTAATAAAGGCATTTGAAAACACATTGAAGTCTTGGGAGGATAAACTGAAATACGACAAGCCTCCGCTGAGGCCTCACCTGTACCCTCAGCATTCTGTGGATCTGGCCACCGAGGAGGAGGCCGCGCTCATCCAGATGTGCGCTCGAGCCGCCGAGGATCTCATCACCAGGATCTGTGAGGCTGCCAAAAACTACCAACTCCTCGAGCAGGAGCTGGCCCACGCCGTCAACGCCTCTTCACACGCCATCAACAAAACACACCCCAAGTTCCCCGAGGTGAGCCATGCCAGCACTGAAGGACTGTTCACACACACCACTGCCACTGATCAAAAATCTACTTTTCCTCCAAATAAAACAATGACCGCTCACCATAGTATTATATTTTGGGTTTGGTGTGAAAGAGTTCATAGGCACTGTACATTGTTTTGTGATAATAGTCTTTCATTTTGTGCAACTATAACCCATGAATAAAATGAGCCAGCTCCTAAATCTAAATTTAGGATTTAGCATTTGATGAATCTAAATCCAGTTACAATATAAATGTATAATCATAAATTTTAGGCATGCAATATACACTTTCGTTCAAAAGTTTAGGGTCAATAAGATAATAATACTTTTAATCAGCAAGAATGCATTCAATTGATAAAGAGTGAGAGTAAATACATTTATAATGTTTCAAAAGATTTCTATTTTAAAAAAATGCTGTTCTTCTGAACTCTATTCGTTAAAGTGAATCAAAGAATGTTAACCAACACATTGATAATAAGAAGAAATGTTTCTTGAGAATCAAATCAGCATATTAGAATGATAATGTGACATTGAAGACTGGAGTATTAATGTTTTTACTGTATATTTGATCGAATGCGTCTTTGAACATAAGACACTATTCTCTGATTGGTGGATCGGTGGTGTTTCTCTACTAGTGTTTGTAGTTTTACACTATTATACATTTTTTTTAAGCACATACAATCGAATCCCAGTCTCAGAGCTCATGGTAGTTTTTTATGAAAATCTTTATGTATTATTATTAAAAAATTTCCTTTTTAATAAATGAATGGTATTTTTACATTAGGAACCCAACTTTTATGTTCCTCACAGTTTATACAAGTCTCGTATTGATGGGTATATTCTCATGTTTGATCCGTCATGCCGTCTGTCCTCCTCAGAGCCTGACAAGAAACACTGCCATTGAGGTGGCGAGCACCGTGAAGGCTCTGCACAATGAGACTGAGTCCCTGCTAGTAGGACGAGTGCCATTGGTGAGTTGACGGTGAACATGATCTGGATTCAGTGTTTGTAATGCAATGTAAAACTCATTCTTCTTCCCCTTTTCCAAGGCATACATGTGCAAAAGCTGGTCCCCATAGAAAAGAATAATCCACACTGTGATGCAGAGCAAATATTATAGATATCTATTTTTAGAGAATTTTTGCACAATTTTATTTCATTTATCTTATATAAAGGTATGAAATTGCAACTTTCAAATGCTAAGCAATAACATATTCCCTCACCAGAATGACAGCTGCATTTGATTGAAAACCTGGACTGGAAGTGGACTCTGATAGAGATCTATGTAAGCACTGACTGTGAGTTTATATCTGTAGCAACTGGACCCTCCACATGAAGAGCTGCTGTCTAATGCCCTGCAGAGCGTCGAGCTTGAACTGGGCAAGCTGGCCGAGATCCCATGGCTATACCACATCTTACAGCCCAACGACGAGGAGGTGAGCACATCCGGCAAAAAATGTCATGCTGTAACTGAGAGTAAATCCCTTAAATATAGTGTGCCTAGATACAGGCCTGTATAGAGGAACCAAATTAGTCAGCTAGGGATAGTTTTCAAAAATGTGAATCATTTAACCACTTCCAAATGTGGTTTTAAATCAGATATATCTGGACACCTGTAACTAAACACCCATATCCGATTCCCCTTGGCCACCAAGTCACAACAAAGATAGCTTTTTAATGTCAGATTATGAAGAAAAAGTGTCTGTATGTGCTTCCACTAAAACTCACAGCTTTTTGTTTTGTTGTTGTGGAAACTTTTTTTTTTTTTTTTTTTTAACCTTTATTTATCCAGGTAAAATGTTTGAGAACCACTTCTCATTTACAATTGAGTGAATTGTATAATTAAAACAGCTTTGTTATTGAAAGCTATATTATATTTCTCAGGAATGGTGAGATAGCTTCACGGTTTTTGTAATTAAATTAACAAGCTTCACTATTACATACAGACTCACACGATCTCTGTCTTACCATGCTACTTTATTTCACTTCAGAATTCTAGATCTAACGAGCTGTAGATAAAATAACAAATTAAAAATGACCATTTGTTCCCGGTCTATATCCTTTCAGTCAGATATTGGGCTGCAAACATCCATGACTGTTTTTAACTTATCCATGCTGGCAAATAATCATGGCCACCTGACATGATTTTTATATTTATATATACAGTATATATATATATATATATATATATTTAGTATGGCCATTCAAGGCCTTGAGGATTAAACATGTTGCATAAAGATAATTTTTTAATGTAAACGCAGATACAGTCGTGTCTACAATAAATGCAAACAGGCAGGACAAAAAAAATCATATATGGTCAAAAGATCATATCTGTGCATTAAGACTAGCACATTTATTAACAGATATGAACTGAATGGGTGTTTTGCAGTTTCTTTTGACTATGAGACTGACTGTCATTTTGTGTGAGGCAGGATCCCTCCCTCGAGTACGGAAAAAGAAACAGTCGGAGTGGCATGTTTCGCATAGTGCCAAAGTTCAAGAAAGAGAAACTCCCCAAGAAGTCCAATCCACCGTCAGGTAAGAGTGTGTTGTGTGTGTGTGTGTATGTGTGTCCACATTTACTTGAATCTCCTCACATGAGACGGCTACTACAATCATGGATACCTCATGCTTTTTTTCATTCATAGTCATGTAAAATTGTTTAAGTGTTACATTTATTTAGGAAAGATGCAAAAGCAGAACTCGTTTGTTTGTATTGTTCATGATTTCTGACAATATAGGGAACTGTTTCAGGAAGTGATGTCAGATCTCTGAAGCCCATGGAGGCAGAGACACACAGCCTGTGTGATTATATAGAGCCCCATAAAGCATGTAATCCTCTTCTGAGAGGACTCTCTGTTCATGTCCAGTGGTCCTCAGTCCAACCCAACCATCCATGAGCACCCCTGCACTCCTCTGGTCATGGTGTTGTCCTGTGAGTCAGAAACAGTCCATGTGTCTACACATGAGCAGCAGGCACAAACCAAGGTGTACCGCACAGAAGGGGAACAATAGAAACCGCTCATCCAAACCCAAACACGACATATTGCACACGTGCTACACATGCTTAAAGGTGAAGTGTGTAATTTCTGGCACTAATAATAGCACTGAATGGTATTGCACATATAATGATTGTTATAAGTGTCCCAGACATCAGAGTCCTGAGGTATACGTTTGCCATTGGTTGAGGCAGAAGTTGACACTTTTTTTATGCTCAAACAAACAAAGCAATGTGTCAATTCATAAGAAGGTCAAATCTAAATTACACGCACCACCTTTAATCCTCCCTGAAATCTGATATCTGAGCATAGTACATACTTTGTACATACTCTCCAAAAAAGCATCGCGAGGGAGTCAAAATAGTTTTTCGACCTCTTTAAGCTACCACACTCTTAATCCGAAAGTAGTTTCGCCCTGGATTTGACGTGCATGTCTGTTATGGGGATTGAACACGACAACAGAGCGCGTTGCATTTTGGTGTTTTTGGACGGACTTTAGGAGCGTTAGGTCGCACAGGCTTCAGCCTCCCATTCCCTCTTCCTCCTGCCGTCTCTCCTGTCTCTGTGTCTGCTCTTAATGGGATAATGGTGGACGTGCCACTGTGATAACCTGCATGCCAGAAACGCCTCTGGGTGTGCCAGTGACCAAACCGAACCTGTTTAACCCTCTCTTTGCCAGCTGCCGCCGCCACTTCTCTCTGTGTCTTCTCTTTCCTCTTTCCTGAGTGTATTTTTTGGTCCCCTTTTCCTTTTGTGGTGCTTTTTTGACTTGTTCCTCCTCTCGGCCTGACCCTGTTTGCCTGTGTTCTTGCGAGTGTACGGGGGTTGGACACTGAAGGGAAGCTTCTCGCTCTGTACTTGTGTAGTTCAGAGGTGGGGCACTGAGGAGGTTGCCGCCTGGCTGGAGCAGCTCAGCTTGGGGGAGTACAAAGACATCTTCATCCGCCACGACATCCGCGGCTCCGAGCTCCTGCACCTGGAGAGGAGAGACCTCAAGGTATACACACAACCCCTTTCTGTGCCTCACCATGTCCCTCAGAACAACCCAAAACATTCTTTTCTCTGTCCATCTCGCTCTTTGTCTCTCTCTCTCTCTCTCTATCGCTATCTCTCTCTCTCTCTTTCGGTCATCTTTACCTGTCACCCTGTTTGCTATTTTGTGCTGCACTGCTCTGCTTGGCTTCCTCTGTGCAAGTGTCATTCGGATCTCAAATTACTTGAGTAGCCACCTTGACGCACACGTAGGGTTATTTTAAGTCGGCTAGGCTCGAAAGACGCCAGCGCGGCGGATAGACAGCTCCACATCGACATGCCTCTGTTTGTGTAGCTCATGAGTACAGTGAATACGTTTGTGTGTGTGTGTGTGATTTTGGTGACAATTTCAAGCAAATCAGGCCCTGTTTACATCTGGTATGAACATCCATATCGGGTGATGTGATCGTAAGGGGAATGTCTTTTGATTTCTTGACTGCACTTTTGTTCACAGGTTTGGGGTTTGGGGTTGGTAAGATATTAATAATAATGAAATAAGTGTATTATTTTGTTCACCAATGCAACATCAAAAATACAGCAAAAGCAATAATATTATAATCACACAAACTCAAAATAGTTGATCCACTCGCTCAACTTTACTGTAGTAAACGCTGCACAATGTAAGTGGAAATACTGGTTTAATTCAGTCTTATATGTTTGAACCAGAAACGTATAGCATAGTTTATCGTAACATCGAAATATACATCGTATACATAATTTACCCGCTATATAGTTAAATGTACCCGATTTTTCCTATCAACAGAAAAATTTAGCGGGATAACCTGGCTTCTCTTGATACTCCACAGCTTTGCAGCAGTAACCGCCCGCCGACACGTTGATGTGATTGGTTACTTACAAGGTTGTTTGTGACGTCAGAAACGCCAACAATTTCAAACTGTGTTTTTGCACATAATGCACCGTCTTTGGTTCACTGCAGTTTTAAAGAGAAAATATTTAGCATAGTGTTGACTAATGAATTTGCACATGGTTACTTTTAAAGCATATTAAAAACATTACATGGACGCATAAACAACATTAAAAACTTGATTGTCACCATTATATTGTCTTATTCTTGTGTAAACTATGATGCAGGTTTTTTTTTTTTTTGGGGGGGGGGGGGGGGGATTCTTTGATGAATATAAAGTAAAAAAAAAAACCAGCATATTAAAAATATCTTTTGTAACAATATAAATGCCTTTACTGCCAATTTTGTGTATTGTTGCTGAATTTCTTTAAAAAAAAAAAAATTGTGTTCCCCGAGAAGCTTTTGCATTCCCACGCAAAGATATTTGCGTTTCCACACAAAACCTGTTGGGAGCACGGACAGACACTTCATGTTTAATGTCCCGCTGGCAGTGTTTCAGAGCTCCGCACATTAATGGAGCGTTTCATAGTGTTTGAACCTGGACTCAAATATAAAGAAATGCGGTCAGTGCTTAACTCAAGAAGATCAGTGAAGTTGCCAATATATTCACCTAGGCTATTCGAACTTCCCGGATCAATATTCTTGAGCTAAATGTTTTTTAACGACGTCGTTTTTGTTTTAAGAATTTAAGAATCTATGTAGACAACGAGCTACAACCCAATTCTCCTTAAAACGAGCGTTATAAATAGACTATAGGCTAAATGGTTCTCTATGAGCAGGCGGCTGAGAGACAAGTCCGAACGGACCATCTGCAAAGTGTAATATAACCAAAAAAATCACTACAGCATCAACTTAGTCAAAAATATAAAAAGAAATAGTCATTAACTTCAATGTTAATGAAGTTTACTTCAAAAGTTTGCAGTTTCACGCCACCAAAATGCTATTATCAGGTAAATTAATGGCCAAACCCAATTAAAGGTTTTTAGTTGAAGATGGTGGCGTGTGAACACCCCCTTAAGTTAACCATGAAATGCTAATAAAAAAACGTACATAGAATGGGAAAATATCAACTTTTTCAAAGGAGGGAAAAACACCAGTAAAACCAGCTAAGAACCACTGCATTGTAATATAATATAAAGTGTTAACACTACAAATGCAATGTTGTCACGGGCTTTTCTGACTACCTCTGCATGAAGTTTGAGTGATCAAACCCCAAACCAGACTCCATGCACACCTGTATTTAGTGCTGTTCACTTATGAGATGTAAACAGGGCTTTATTTGCAGCATTTATTTGGTTATAGCTGTATAGTGGAGCTATTTTAAACAATACAATTGTCTAGGATTATCAACTGAATGGTCTAATTTATTATACAATTTAACACAGTGATAGAGCACAATAAACATCCTCACCAGACACTCAGTGATGCTTTCATGTACATTTGTAGAGTAAGAAGAAATAAATAATGCATTCAATAAATGTATTATAAATCCTTGTGAATCACACCTCCCAATGTTGACGAATTACACAATGGGGATCACAAGAGCAGCTGAGTGTTTGCGTAGTGCTGAATGTCTATGTGTAAGGTTTTCTGGTCACACTTATCACAAGCACTAGTGAACCTTGGACTGTGCCATTTTTACTCCTCTGTTATGTCCTCCCATTTCAAATGTCCCTGCCATTTTTCTGGTTTAACCTCATTCTGTCTTAAGGGATGTCCTCAAACAGATTAAAATATATGTATATATTAGGACAGAAATAGATCCGAGTGTTTCAACTGTAAACCAGTCAAGCTAAAATTCAGTGGTGTTGTGGGATAATGATGCATTTGCTGTGTCATTAGATCTGCTGCATTGTTTTAACCCAAGGTTAACCAAACAATCAATATTGGTGACATAATGACCAGTGCTGACAAATCTTAGAGACCAGAGTAGATGATGACCGATATAATGCCGGTATATTATAGTTACTATATATATATATATATATATATGATGAAATACATGGAGACTCTTACACAATACATCTGTGTAATGCCTTATTTAGATTAGCCTAACTTCCACTAGATGTCACCTTCCTGTGGTTTTATCTCAAACCTAGTTCTCAGATGATTTTTATACTTTGGTTATACACTCGAGTAAGGAATTTATAAACATTTTAATTTGACAATCAGTTAACTAATTAAGTTTATTGCTAATACTGCAAAACACACTTGCAAGACTCCACATATCACTTAGTTTGAATGAAATGTAAATATTCCTACTTAAAGGGGTAATTCACCACTGGCAAGATGGGATTTTATTCAAATTTGGCTGAATATGTATGCAGTAGGTCGATGTGACTAGTAAAAAGGGGGCTGTGACGTTCCATTTATCAAAAAGGTAGAGCAACTTCAACTCCCATAATGCACTGGATTCGCCTGTAAACGGGGATACATACAACAATGTGGAAGAATCTTTAGTTTTCATAGAAACCCTGAAGCTGTCAAAAGTCCACCAAAAGGCCCCAAATAATGTGTTTTACATCATCCGTCTGACAATAAACAGAAAACGTTCATTTAATACTACATTGCAACAAAACTAAGCTGGTTGAAAATTGTACCCTTTAAGAAATGTGAGTATTGATTTATTTTTGTTTTTAAATTATCATTGTTAATTTATTACAGTTAATATGCTAATAATATTTATATATGTTATAAAATTTAATATAAATATTTAAATATATTTGACTTTTGAACCTAAGCCAAATTTGCTTACACTTTGTTTAAGTTTTCCCTTTTACAGTGTAGATTGATACACAAACAAGTGGAAATATGAATTAACATGTACTTACATTAGGGAATAGTTTAGTTTAGGGTAGGGTTAGTTGCTTGTAATTATGCACAAATTGCTATCATTACTATAAGATGTGTAACAAGAACACTGTAAAATACCCCAATGTCTTTAAGTACTTACCCCAATTTTAATTTCTTTGAGCATGTGCTAGACTCTGAAATTGACATATGAACGTGGATTAAACTTGGGTTAAGCTTCAGTTGGTTTATGATGTATTCATTAAAACAAAGAATCCAAAAGTGATTGAAAGTATCAAAAATGTATTGTATGTAGAAAATCAGAACAATACAATTCGTGTGTCCTCAATCTTCTACGTGCAATATTTAGTGCATTCATTCTGAGCGCACTTCTGTTTGTCTGATTCCACCAGGATCTGGGGATCTCGAAGGTGGGTCATATGAAGAGAATTCTCCAGGGAACTAAGGACTTGGCCAAGAGTTCGATGGTGGACCTGTGAGACGTCGGCACACATTCCGTTCGGGAGCGAAGAGGAGTTGAAGCGGAGCTCCGGTGCGGGGGACGCTTTGCTGTCGTCGATTTCATGTAGGAATAGCTTTTAGAAAAGCTAGGAATGTTTGTTTTAGAAGCAAGTGCTGGTGCCAAATCGACAAGGATTGTGTCCGAGACTTGTGTTAGACCCATAGAAAAGCCATTCCTCAATTATTGCATCAACGGCACAATCAGGTATGCAATTCTCATCGTGCACGCGACCTCTGGCCTCTTTAAAAGATCCAAATCAAGTAGCAGTACGGGACTTCCAAACTCACTGGCTCTTTGCCTTGCGGTAGATGGTTTTCAACAAAAGGAGGGCGATGTGATGTGTCAGCAATATTCTGCTTTTGACAGCACTGTTTACATTTTAAGGAGACGGGAAAAAGACTGACGGAGTATCGCAATCAAACGGCAATCATCGTAGTGATGCGGTCCAGTCCAAGAAAGGTCAAAAGGGGTTTCCTTCGACAGTGACATACTGATGCATGGTATGCTTGCTATATATTTGGATAGCTATTTTACTGCATGATCTGCGTCTTGTTTTTTTATTGTACAAACTAACACTTGAACAAGTTTTATATGGATTTAGTATAATGCCATTTGTTACTACTGAAGCATCCCTTTTGGTCCAAGTAGACTGCTGATTTGTTTCTATTTAACTGTCTGCATGGAAACCTTGTGTCAAAAGCAGTGTCATGTGCCATATTTATTGGTAAGAAATGTTTTAACTTTACAGTAGGACGTTAGGTAAGTCGACATCGCGGTGAATCATGTACCAAAGTGAATGTCCCCCGAAACGTAAAATATTCAACTTCGAAAATATCTGTAACATCCACAGGACATCTGTTTGTGGCTTAAACCGTGTAATTATACATTAGTTGAAATAGGACTTCTATTGTTTTGAATAAGAAACTTTTTTTGCAGTTGACCTGCAACATTACATAGTTGATATTTGCTGAGTTCAGGAACCCAGTGCAACTTCTATAGGATCATCTACATTTGGTTGGTGGCATTACAGGGTATAAGAGATGTTTGTTAATATATGCAGTGTATATACGTTTAAAAAGTCTTAAAGTAAAGCCTTTGTATAATAGAGCGCTTGCATCATATTATCAGATGGCACATTTATTTGTGTATAGAGCACCATAACACCTTTGTGAATTATGACGTTAAGTAATCGCCTTTTACACGTTAAGTGCTGTTGTACTCTATGGAAGGTGCAATATTGTTTTATTTTGATACATTTCTTCTCTATTAAGCTTTACTATGTGAGGTTTTTCCATGGCAAACTAAAAAGATAAACTTCACACACTCTTTTTTTTTTTTTTTTTTTTTTTTTTTTTGGTTTTGGATTAAGGTGGATTTCGGGTCAGAGAAATTATGCCAGGTTCTCTCCAAAAATTCATAAATCTTCCATTTAGCAAATTGCTGATCCTGTCTATCCATGCTTCCAAGATAATTTGCTAGGCGGCTGGATGTTTCCTCAAACCGGCTATAAAACTGTTGTGCCTCTATTTTTTGTTTCGTTAAATGGAAAATTTTGAGCTTTGAGCTACACGTAGCTTTCCCAACCAACAGTGCACATGGGACTCATAACAGTGGAATTTAGTTTATATTATATTATAATGTTTCTCTAGAGGGTGTTCGATAACTTCAAAGTAGTAGTTGATACTGTATACATACTGAGAGAAAGAGCGTCGGAAAAAGATGTGGTGTTCCCTAGCAAGAAATGCAATTCTACCCACAATTTACCTGAAGTGAGAATTCAAACAAATGTGGAGAACGAGCACAGGCCAGGAGGACTGGGTTTGGTCTGTCGGCCAAAACCGAGCAGGATGTTTTTGAAAAGAAAAATACACATTTGAAAAGTTCAGTGAGAGTTTAGTCATCATATCAAACGATAGGACTAAAAAATGAGACTCGATTCATGACAGCATTCATTAATCAATAATTGATTACATTACTGGTTCTCAACATTCAACATGGCGCCAAACGTAGAGCTCAATAGTTTATTGGACACAAATAACCCAAAAACAGTTCTTAAAAGTCATTAATATGATCAAAAACTGCATACAATATAGATAATATTGTAAATGCACAAACAGTAGAAGTGATTTTTACACTTTTTCTAGCTTGTGTGTTTGGTTTCTAAATGTCAGTTGAGTTTTATGCTCTCGGCAGCCAATAATTCACCACACAAAACACATTGTGGTCGGCACAAACCATGTTTATTCTTGTTGTAAGTGAACCCGTATTTAATGTTGTTTGGCCTTGTCCATATTGGCAGCTGCGTAATATGTCTAGCTCTTGCCAAACGAAAAACGAACTTAATACCATAAAGTTTGATAATGGACGCGCAAAATTAAAGATGAGGAAAACATTGTGTCTTCGCTTTTAACAGTTGATGAGCCTATTTCTATATTTGTCCTAACTTTACACGATTATATAGTTAGCTGGTTCCCTGGTTCCCATCAGGGTTGTCCTTTGGGTGGTGTAAACCCAGGGTACCCACCTTATTTATATTAAGTGTTTTTAACTACTATGTACTAACATTTCAATTAATCCTTTGATATAAAGCACTTATTGTGTACATAAATGATTTTACATTATGCTTATGTTTAAAAAATACCTGCATGTGATTACAGCTGTAGTTATTTTTTGTATAATTACACCTAAAAATGCAAATTACGTCGTCATTTACTCACCCTTATATCCAAACCTGAGTTTCTTTCTTCTACTGAACACAAAATATATTTTAAAAAATGTTGTTGATGGCACCCATTGACTTCCATAGAAGGGGGGGAAAAAAATACAATGGAAGCCAATGGCTACCTTCAAGTTTCTGGTTACCAATTTTTTTTTCAAGTATCTCATTTTGTGTTCAAAGAGAATGAAACTCATACAGGTTTGGAACAACACGAGAGTAAATGATGACAAAATGTTGAGATATTTTTGGGTGAACTATCCATTTAACCCACCTTAGTAGCAGGAAAAATGATTTGCAATACTATATGAACTCAATGGGCTCTATGCACGCCGGTATTTCCGGTGAAGGTGTAAGGATGCTCGATAACTTCCACCGATCGTAGACTCCAATGCAATACCGAGAATTTATATTGAATTTTATACTCCATGATTATACTAAAGAAACGTTAGTCACAAAAACAGATAAAACAGACACCCCTCGTTGTGTTTATGCTTCTTTTTAAAATTACATTAAATAAACATAACTATATTTAAAATTTCATCTAAACGTATGTACGTTTCGTTTCAAAGATGGGAGGACAGTAAATTTTGAAGACTCTACCATAATCCCGTTTTCCTCGGTTTTCCTCCGCTTTAATCTCCACAACCAGAAATGGACGAGCATCCTTGCGTCAAATGTGGAACTTATGCATGCATATAGCCCATAAGCTTGTTTCTGCCACTAAATAAAAAAAACCCGAAAAAAATAATTGCGACTTTTAATCTCACAATTGCGAGATATGAAGTCAGAATTGTGAGAAATAAAGCAGCAATTGCGTGTTATAAAGTCAGAATTGCGTGATAAAAAGTCGCGACTTTTTATCACACAATTCTGACTGTTTTTCTCACAATTGCGAGTTTATATCTCACAATTCTGACTTTATAACACATAATTGCGAGTTTACATGTCGAAATTCTGACATCTTGAGATATAAACTCGCAATTGCGACTTCTAAGGGGGGAAAAGAAAAGACTAACCGTTTTCCCCCCTCACAATAGTTTAAATCTCATTCTGACTTTATATCATGCATTTCTGACTTTATAACACGCAACTGCGACTTTATATCTAGCAATTCTTACTTTATATCTCGTAATTCTGACTTTATAAAACGCAACTGCGAATTTATATCTAGCGATTCTTACTTTATATCTCGTAATTCTGACTTTATAAAACGCAACTGCGAATTTATATCTAGCGATTCTGCCTTTATATCTCGCAATTCTGACTTTATAACACGCAATTGCGACTTTATATTACGCAATTCTCACTTTATATCTCGCAATTGTGACTTTATATCTCGCAATTGTGACTTTATCACGCAATTCTGACTTTATTTCACGCAATTGTGACTATATCTCGCAATTGCGACTTTATATCACGCAATTCTGACTTTATATCTCGCAATTCTAACTTTATATCTCGCAATTGTGACTTTATATCACGCAATTCTGACTTTATAACACGCAATTGCGACTTTATATTACGCAATTCTCACTTTATATCTCGCAATTGTGACTTTATATCTCGCAATTGTGACTTTATCACGCAATTCTGACTTTATTTCACGCAATTGTGACTATATCTCGCAATTGCGACTTTATATCACACAATTCTGACTTTATATCTCGCAATTCTAACTTTATATCTCGCAATTGTGACTTTATATCACGCAATTCTGACTTTATATCTCGCAATTCTGACTTAACGTCTCGCAATTCTGAGAAATAAAGTCAGAATGCGAGATGTAAACTCGCAATTGTGAGAAAAAAAGTCTGAATTGTGAGATCGCAATTACCTTTTTTATTTTTCATTCTGTGGCGGAAACAAGCTTCCATAATAAGCACATTGTACCCAACATTTTTTTTGTAAGTACATAGTACTTAAAGACATCTGATGTAAACTGACCATTAAATGCATTCTGTATGTGTTGTAGTTGAGAACCACTGGCGTCCATAATAAAGGCACAACAGACTAAAGCCTGCTTTTTTCCACAATCAAAGTTGCGGTATAATTGGAAACTTATTGTATCTCACTTCCCGTCTTTTCTCAGAAGTGAGCACTTACTGAGGTTTTAGTTATTGGTTGGCTGTTTAATCCATCGGCAGGTTTTTCTAATCCAACTTTTACACTTCCCCATTCCCTCTCTTAAAATTTTTTAATTTATATTTTTTTTATGTATTTTGCCCAATTTATTGCTTTCAACTACCACTAAGTGTGCATTACTCACAATTTACCAGGTTTAAATTCATCCCACGGACATTATTCTCCAAAATCAGTGCAGAAAACGTTACCTATTCACTGGGAACAGAAAAACACCCCGTCATGCTGTGATCATATCCGACAATCAAATGGTGCATTTAAAGCAACAGTTCTGTTTGTGGTTATATGACATAATATCAAAACGTACGTGCTCGTATCTCCATGCATTCCGAAACACCAATGAATGTAGTGATATGATTTTCAAATATGACCGCATTGCTAAAGGTAATTTCCCCAACTAGCTAGAATCATTACCAAAGACACAAGATGATTTTGAGAAGACTTGATGCTCACACTATGAAGCGCCCTATTTAATTGGCCTTCCACGATCTCTGTTTGACAGCTGTAGCAGATTTGACCTTGTCTATGGTGCCTCTGTATAGTTCATTTTGCTCACGACAGACTTAAAACACTCAAGTGCAGTCTTCCTCTCATGCCACACACTGAATACATGTGCACACGATCACATGAACCTCAGTTCTCAAGCCACCACATGACTGTTTTTCATTGGACTATAAGTGGCGGTGGGTTTCGGCTCATCGACGATGGCGAACGTAAAAAGCTGTAAACTGCCTGGTTTTTCAAAAACAAATTCATTTTGAGGAACTTGTAGAGCAAGGTCGCATATCTTTGACATAATTTATATCCATTTAAGAGAAGTGCGATGTGAGTTTCATTTGTTTACATTGTGTTTACAATGGCACAGTTTCATTTTTAAGACTACATGTATAGGTATATTTACAATACTTGCATATTTATTAAGGTTAAACAACTGATGTGTATGTGTTTTCACTATTGGGATATAATGTTACGGTAGTCACTTGTATTGATATTGATATCTGGATGATTTTGGTAAGTAGTAGGTAATTTTTATGACTACTAAGTGACTGTTTTCTGTGCCTTTTTATCGTAGATGCATGGTTAACTATTTATTACAATATGGAGGTCACTGAGATGTGTATTTTTGTATCCTGATTAAATAAGTGTTTCGATTTCGATGTACATTTTGAGGTGGTGAGATGCTGCCAGTTGATATCTTCCTTCTTCAATAAAACTGAATGCTTACACAGTACACTGCTTTGTCGTGAGGGTTTGACTTATTCACTTGAATTTGTATGTGTAGATTGAATGAAATATGAATGTGCATTAACAAACCACTGATTAACACAATGGAATTACATGGAACTTTTATTTTTCAATACTGCTACGGCATTACGGTAAAGATTTTGATTGGGTGTTTGACGTTATTATAAAAATTTCATACATTTCAAGTGCTCTTGAATACATTTACCACACTCATAAACTGTGTACACATGTGTATAAAAACAGACAATATTTTAATGATCTTAATTTAATATTTTTGATTTAGCCTAGGCCACAACCCTCCTGCAATAACTCTGCAGCCCACCAGGGGACTCGGCCCACACTTTTTTGAAGCATTGAACTAGTGGTCCTTATGAAGAGATGCTCATCTGGCTATATAATTACTAACAATTTTTAAATTTATATCTACAGCTCCTGTTCTCTAATATCTCTGATCCATACTACAGATACTTCAACTGAAGAACATTTAATTTAAATACTAATTCAGTTTCAGATTACACTGATGATTCATCTGGTGGTAAAATGAATGTGAGGAATGTAACAATCAGGTTCAAAAAGTAAAAAAAAAACATTATTTTTCTCAATAGACAAACTGATATTAAGTTTAAAACATCTACCAAGTGTTATTAAGTGATGAAATATGCTTCTGTAGAAGCCATAAGGTTGATAAATAAAGGGATAGTTCACCCAAAATGAAAAAATCAGTCATGGTTTACTCACCCTCAAGTTGTTTCAAACCAGTTTGAATTTCTTTCTTCTGCTGAACCCCAAAGAAGAGATTTAGAAGAATATTTGTATATTTTTTCAATATAATTTGGCTTGAAATAACTTGAGGCTGAGTAAACAATGGCAACAGTTTCATTTTGTTGGGTGAACTATGCCTTTAAAGTCAGTTCACTTTTTAATAGTTCACTTTTTTACATACACAAGCTATGTATTAGAGCTACACAATTCTGGATATTTTGAAAATAAAAATAGAGATCGCTATTTTGAACAAACAACTTCACAAAATAAAACAATTCATGTTAAGGCTATTAAAATGTTTAATTAATCTGAATGATTTTAAAAATCTTCGGTTTGAATTGAATGATTAAATTCCTCAAACAAATACACTTGTTTCATAGATGAATCAGCATTGTTGAACGAATCTTTTGAATGAACGATTCAATGAGAAATGTTTTTTAAATAATTTGTCGCCATCTGGTGGCGTAACAATATAATCGATCTAATCTTTATTTGAAGTGCAAGCTACTTTCAAAAGTTGACTGGTATCACAGACAGTGTTACATATTAAAAAAACGTAATACTTTATTTGTATGACCACTGACTATAGCTTAAAAAAGTTTTTCCAATAAATACATAATGATTCAAAAAATTCAAAGTGATCATGTGTTTATTGCAATGTACAAATGACTTTTACCTGGAAAAACAAACAAATACCCTGTATGGTTGCAATCATTACAAATCATTTATAGGCTATAACATATAAATAGCTAAATCTATGAGGGTATAACTCTTTAAAAAACAGTGTTGGGCAAGACTTGATTTTGTCCATGTTGAATTGATTGGATTGTTAGTTTCCTACTGCTGGGATCTCATATGAGTGACAGGTTGTCCGCCCTCTTGAAGATCTCTGCAAGTACATGGGAGTGAAAGTTCTTTTTATTAAAGAATTTAATTTTGAGGGTACATTAAATTGATTTAAAAAAAGAATTTGCACCACTAAATCATTTATAATAAACACTGCAAAATTCCATAAAAAAAAAAAAAACAGGAATTTGATTCAATTTTGATTTCCATGGTGACAGAACTACACTACCTATAATCCTGAAAAAAGATTAACCAATAGGAGAACCTTGTGTTACCATGACATAAATTGAAAACTTGACATAAACATTTTTTCAAATATTTAGTTGTCATAAAAACAGTGTTTGCTTTTTATATAGTAAATTATAGCAACCATTACCATCATTATCCAAAAAATGCATCAAACTGCTAGCCATATATTTCCATGGTAATATATCCCAAAGAGAAAGTGAAACGAAAAAAATAATATTAAAATAATAAAATCCTACATTAAATTGTATTTATTTATTTATGTTGCATGTGTATCTTACTCCCATCAGTGACTCTGCGCTCAACTGCTCTGAACCGCCGCTCGGGGTTTGATTATTCCGCCTGCTCGTCTTGTTTTCATGAAATGAACGGAGGTAACGTTAAGAGCAACTAGCTGCCCACTGCTCGGCTCTGTCACTACAAGGTGAGACGCGCTTCATTTTCATTTGCATGTCGTTTTCCACTATAAATCACAGAGCAGTTATAAACCCCACTGATTGGTGTCAAAGATGCGGATCACGACTGATGTTATCACAGGCCTGATGCTAATGCGTGAGCCAGCTGCGTCTGTGATGACATCATCAGGCTTTAACATTAAACCGCATATAAACACATTCCTGATAATGCTTTCACGTGCATAATTCTTAAATAAACTCCGCGGTTATTCATCTAAGTCATACTGCCTGTATCGCGACGATGCCTGAAAATGATAACAATGAATCATCAAACCGAAAATGAGAGGTGTCAGTTATTATGACATATAACGTTAACAGTTACGTGGCTGCAGATTAACTGACATCTCGTCGAGCTTCAGAATATTTCTTATAATAGTCAAATGGCGGTTTATCATGGTAATCTGCGACTGTCAGAGCTGGAGGGTTGTGGTGGGTCTTATTTTAACACGTTTAAAGCATTATTGACACAGTTGTAAATAATAATTGTAATTCTGGGTTTTATATGTGGCAAGAATGCTGTGCATGACGTTTTGTATACAGCCACTCCCATTAATAAGCTGGGAACAGTGAGTGAGAACAGTGAGATCTCATAAACATCTGTTGGTTTCAGGAAATCATTTGACCCTGGTGATGCTCTCAGCAGCACAGATCACATGCAGCAGCCAGCGCCATCACTTGCTTATGTTAAAGTCACCATGATTTTTTGTTTGTTTGTTGGTTTGTTTGTTATGGAATATTTCAGTATTTATTATAAATGATTCATCTGTGCACATATTTTATTCATGTGCCTAATAATTAAAATAACTTCCCCTCCCTCTTGCAGCAACATCTCTTCTCTGATGATGTGTTTACTGACGCGAGGGCGAGATAACCTGTCACTCACATGACATCACAGCAATAGCAAACCACATTGATCCAACCATCCAGTGAATAGAGCATCACAGTCCCGCCCACAGTTGGTGCCGGAAGTAACAATTCAATACAATTTCTCCATTGACAGTTATGAAAACGTAACCATACATTGGCTGTACTAAGAAAGTGATTGAATTTGCTCATATCAGTGGCGTAGGTTTGATTTTAAAATTGGTGGGGACGTGGACGTCAGTGCATAAATTTATTTTAAGTTTTGATCGAAATTATTGCTTGATATATCAGTGTTACTGGATATTGGTGCGTCCCTACTAAACTCTACGCCCTTGGCTCATATAAACGCCAAAAGTTTATGGGGCACTAACCTTGTTTTAAGATAAATCCCTTTTATTCGCAATGTATTGGATAAGTACTTCATTAACCACAATCCTGAACAATCTCACAGAGATGCATCTGATTGGTGGAAGTCGTGTAACGTGTCTGAAACCACGCAAAGGCACGTGAAGACCTGAAGATCTTGTAATGACATAGGGTTATGGAGGAAAATGTTCATGTGGTCGTCGTCAGATTTGGAAGTCACTAAAAAGGCTCTTTCACGGTGGCTTCAATGAGGCGCGGTGGATTATGGGATGAGTAGTTCCTTTGCTCGGAAATGAAAATATGTACACAGGCTTGTACCCTTGACTTTTTTTGTATTTTCTCTTCGTTTTTTCACCCGAAATGATATGTTGTATGCTTATGAGTTCAGCCGTAGCTGGTTATCCTCAGACATGCTCTAATACTCTTTAGATATGGATTTTACAAAATGTTTATGGGAGAAATGAATGGGTTATTTACTTCCGGCACCAACGCTCGCTCAGGCTGTGGATGGCACTGTGATGCTCTATTCCCAATTGACAAAATCAAGTCCCACCCTATGTTTTTTTTTCACTCGGATACGTCAAGTATAAGTAAGGAAGGAGACTATCGCAACTTGTTGACTTTAACTGTTGGGGTTCAGGCTAGCAGTAAACATACATTTTTTTGTGTGCTGAATTCTTAGAAGTAATGTTAACCTTTGCAGTCCCCACTCACACACAGTCATGCTGAAATGCATCAAAGTCTGACCTATTTCAGCATTCAGGTGTGAGCATTTGTTTAGTGAGAAAGACTCTGTGGAAATGCTCAAATCTGTGGAAATGCTCTGGGCCAACAGAAATGGAGGGAAAATTGATCGTTTACCCCGTCCCCACTATTTTTTTTTCTTTATTATGTTTTTTCAAACTTGTTTAATAATGATGAAAATATTGTGTGGATTGTTGGGAAATCGTATATTATCGTCTATAGTTTCCATCTCTTCCAAATTACTGGCTTGTTGTTTTAGTTCAGGAGGAATTGTAAAAGCTGGCTGCTGTTTCGTTTGAGGTGTTCGGTGACTGAATATGTCTAATTCTGCATAGCATGAAACGCGCTAATGAGGTATCTGAGTTATGAAAATACATACACATCTTTTCTGATTTTTGATTACTTTTTGTTTCAAATCAAATTTTTATGTTGTGATTTACCTTGTAGCTGGTTTAGTATGGTTTCATTGCTTATAATGAAGACTTTTTAAGAAGTCTTATTAGGAAAATGAGAGGCGAAAAATACATTTTTCTAGTAAAAACAAACTTGCCATCTCAGTTCATAGGCCTTAAACAAGCTTGTTTGTCAGACTGTGAACAAATGGTGTATTATAATGAATCTGAGCAAGCATTCAAGGAGAGATTTAGTTCTGAGGCCGTATTAACCCATAATAACAGATGGATGCACTCATCCAAACTGCTACTTGAGAGGTAGCCTTCTGCATGTGACAATTGCTTCTTGTTTTTTTTTTTTTTTTCTCTATATAGTTTATCAGATTCTGTTTCAAATCCCTCTGTGCTTCTTTCACGCAAGCTTGTGCAGTCCCAGATAAGATCTCACTGCTACAGCACAGTGTTTCGGTTTAGGCTATGTGAGAATGTGATAACAGCCTGACATTGGGCCGTCATATAGCCTTGACCTACATTTTTCCAACATATTGGTGTACCGCACACGCACAGATGGCCCAAGATAATTTGACTGCTGTAGGCTGTATAATGTTAAAGATAAAGTCTTGTTCAACTTTCACTGTTTAGGTAGTTTTCAGTTTTCTCATATTTCCCCCGTGTTTCTGTCTTACTGGAGCTGCTGGAAAGCCCATGTTTTGCCCATAAGTCATGTGATCTCCAACATAATCCAATTTAAAGGCGTAGTTACCGCAAACATTTTAATTCTGTCATTTACCAATATACATGTCGTTTCAAATTTTCTTTCTAATTAATCTGAATGTAAAGTCAATGGGGTCCAAATCTTCATTACCTTTAATTCTTGATTTTTTTTTTTTTTTTTTTGTATTGCAAACCTTGTAACTTGGTATGTTTACATGAAAACTATCTAAACACTAATTGTGGTCGTCTGAGTGAATCCAATCCGATTTCTGTTTATATGAACTCTAAATGTTGTGAACCGAAAGCCACTGCAACAATGTCATCGGAGTATAATTGTTGTTTTTGCTGTGATGACATAACCAAAAATGCTGACATGTATGTCCACAAGAGCATTTTTAGCAAATATTTAGTAAGTATTCAGTCTCATCCACTGACCAGCAAGACATGAGACATGAAGTGCATTTTCAAATGACATAAAATGCATGTAAACACTCAAATCAAGGCACTGCACGTGTTCGATTGCGCTGATTGTGGAAATAGTCTGATGCAAGCGCTTACACACCATCCCTTTGAGTCCAATTTCAGACGAAATTTCAGTCAGATGGATTGAGGTGTGTACACGAAGGCTTTTCAGTCCCATTGAGCTATAAATCTGATTATAAATGTATTATTAAGGTGCATGTTAGAGTAATGTGGAGTGGATTGAATTGTAGGTAGCTAAAACTTCTTCCCAAACTTCTCTCTTGAAGGAGAGGATAACCTCCTGTCCAGCCCTGCAACGTCATGGACGCCTGTGCACGGATCAGAGGGGTCCCGTTGAAGAGCCGTGCCACTATGAAGAAAGAAGTATGTTGTCTATTGTTTCTCCGCTCAAACATGTTGCATTTATTTTGTTGAATCTCCTCTAATTTCTAACAAGCTTTATGTTGGTTTGAGCAGACCATCCGCGAGGGCTCAAACCTGTGCCTGAAGAGCCTGTTGAGACACAAGAAGGAGCTGTGCAATGTAATAGTGGAGCTGCATAATAAAGAACCACAGTTGTTATCAGAAGTAAGGGTCACACACTGCTAGCATTTCAGACTGCCATATGCATGTTTCATATGTATGCTTGTGAAATCAATGTCACAGTTAAAGGGGTAGTTCACCCAAAAAAGAAAATCCTGTAACCATTTATTCGCCTTCATGTCATTCCAAACTGTTTAGTCTTTCGTTCATCTTCGTTACACAGATTAAGATATTTTGATGCAATCTGAGAGATTTCTATCCCTCCATTGATTGAATCCAATAATCCAAATGAATTGAGCAGTTTAGTTAAAATTTTCTAAAAGAGATATGATCGCTTTATATGTTGAACAGGTTGAATTTAGGCTTTTATTCACATATAAACATTCATCAACAACACACACATCAGATATGGTAAACGGAAGACCAAGCATGCATGTTTGATGTGCGAAAACCAATGAGGTTCATTCTCATTAGGGTTGGGTATCGAGAATCGAGTATCGATTGGAACCGGGACTAACTTTTCATTTTTCCCGGAATCGTTCAAAAGTTAAAATTTCGATTCCTAGTTTCGATATTCACAGTCCGCTGACCGGAAGAAGAAACCGCTGAACAACACCAACGAAGAAGCGTCTACCGGAAGTGTTGGCATAACCGCGTGAGTCGAACATGAGTAGCTTACGTCGGCGGTCCAAAGTGTAGCTTCACTTTTCTAAAAATAACGAAATCTCGGCAAAATGCAAAATTTGTGACAAAAGGAGTATTTGTGACAGAAGGAGTATTTCCTTCAGAAAGACCGTTGGTTAGCAAGGTTAGCTAAACTTTTTTGACCCTGCCTCTTAAAAGAATCGGAATCGAGAATCGTTGGGAACCGGAATCAGAATCGTTCAAATTCAAACGATACCCAACCCTAATTCTCATGTTACGCAACACATTTGAGCTTCCTCAAGAACCAATGAGATTTGGTCTTGTGGGTCAAGCAAGTTGTAACAATAAAGTGATTGTGTCTCTTTAGAAAAGTTTAACTAGATATTGATTAGTTTATGAATTATGGACATATGGATTTGTTTTATGATCTCTTAATGAACTTTTTGAACCAAAACTGTGAACTAACCCTTTAGGAATATTCTGGGTTAAGTAGATAAGCTAAGTCTTGCCCCTTCTTGTTCCTTTTTTTTTTTTTTAAATATATATATAATTGCGAACAAATTTAGTTAAGCTTATCCGTACGACTTTAATCAAGCTTATCCGTAAACATTAAACATTTCAGTAGTATAGTTGCAAGATGGAAGCATAATGTGTTAACATATTAGTGTGAAATAAAATCGCATACTAATGTCTTAAATCCTTCAAAAAATGGTGCCATTTACTTCCATTGTAAACCATAACCCCACCATAACCTTGATTTTTGCTGATTACTTATTTTCGGTTTAAATGTTTGGTGACCTCTTTTTGAGCTGAGTGATTTTGAAAGCCTCCATGACAAAAGATATTGGCGATAAGATAACGTTAGAGGCAACTGGGACAGTGCAACAGTATGACTGTTGCATCTCACCTCATTATATACACAAGCGCATCTCACAAATCTTGAGTGAATCGGCAAATTCAAAAAAAGAAATTGCGGTTGCAGTGCAGCTTGTTTCCTTTATGTTGAGGTAATTGAAATCGAGTCGCTTATAATGTGCATTTGAAAAAGCAACACGTGCCAAACAAACATTTCTCCATACTTGTAATGATAAGTATTTACAAACCTGCTCTTGTCCAACAAAGGAGAACTTTTACTCAAGTGTTTACGATGACTGGAAGGGGGCATAAGCTGTTAGAATAGAAATCAACCATTTTACCCAGAAATCAATCACTATTCCCTACATTACTCCATTAATGTAGTCCACTTGAGGGAATGAATGAAAACAGCATCTTGCATCTTGCATCTTGCCAGAAAATGGCTGAATCATCCATCCATCCATTTTCTAAACCACTGGTCCAATGTGGAAAAAGAGTAATATAAAACATTTATAATTTTTTTTTTTTTTCATTCATTCAGTCCTTCAAGTGGAGTATTATTAGTGGAGTAAATGAGGGTATGGGGTGAAGGAAACGGACGTTTCAATATATGGTTGTAAGCAAAAAAAAAAAAAATAGGAAAGAAATATATTTGAAGTAAACGTATGCAATCCATTCGTTTTTCTCCTGTGTAGTGTAGTGTACAGTAGTTTTGTTTCCTAATAAAAATTAAGAAATTACCTTCACAGATTTTTACCATCATAATTTAATATTTTATAATAAAAGTAAAACCTTTCTTATGATTTATAGTTATAGGCTCCCTGCATGTTAACAGGTCGGCTTGCAGTTTTCTGTAAAATGTAATGATAATTTTGTCATCATCCATTTACTGCAGCCATTATCATTAGAAAATGTTAAACAAACATTAATTGCAGTCCTTGAGGTTAATGTGCATAAAAACAGAAACATCTTTGAACTGAAGGGAATGAGACGAGAGTAATATGCACAAAGTATTGTATTGTATATGTTTTGCACCTGCTTTTTTAATGTTTAATGGAATTTATTTGGTAACATAATTTAAATTGGATTGGCATGATTGATTCTTCTTCTCTTTCATAGGTACATTACATATGCTTACCTAGTCATGCTGAGGGGGAGAATTTCACCCTACAGGTCAGTGCTACTGACCTTTTTGTGCTACTTACACTAACATTCATACGGTTGGGATTAAAAAAAAAAATACAATACGGATACATTACATTGACCCATAATGTTACAAATGAATAAAATAAATTCTCATATTTTGAACTTTCTATTCAAAAAAGAGTCCTGACAAAAAGTTTCCAGAAAAGCAGCATACCAGTTTTTAACATTGATAATAATAATAAATGTTTCTTGAGCAGCAAATCAGCCTATTGGAATGATTTTGAAGGATTACTGTATGTTACACTGAAGACTGGAGTAAGGATGCTGACAATTTATCTTTGCATATAACAGAGATAAATTACATTTTTAAATGTATACAAATAGAAAATAGTTTTTAAATTCCAAAATTTTATTCTATTTTTACTATATTTTTGATCAAACAAATCCAGCCTTGATGAGCTTAAGAAACATCTTTCAAAAACATGTAAAAATGTTTACCGTTTTTAAAGCTCCCTTAAAAAGAGGGAGTTTACCTTTTTTAATGTTTAATTAATTAAATAGATTAAAGTCATGTATTCTTTGATGCCCACAGGCTCTGACGTCCCTCTCCACTGAGATGATGGAGTTGCTTAGATCACTACATGTACACACCCTTAAAGATGAAGAGATTTTGCTCCTTAAAGACCCTAAAAGACCCTTTGAGAGGAAAGACAGTGTTTCTCAGGTTCGATTTCTGTATTTTATGCTTTGACAGTATTTGACAGTATGTTTATGCTTTGTTTGAGGCGTGTGTTTGCTGCTGTCATTATTTTAAAATCAGGTGTCCTTCAATGTTTTGTCTTGGTTTCTAAATTTGTGATGTTGTTTTGTGTGAAATTGGGTCTAAACAGAACTAACCTTGTGGAAGGCAGCCATAGTATTAAGTTTTGTACTCGGAACATTTCATCAAACCACAAAAATAACAGAGATTGCATGTTTTCTTTCACATGTCAGAAAAAAATAAGAGTGCTGTGAGCTTCTCAAGAAATTATGTCAGTTCAGGGATTGACAATTTGCAGCCTGAATGATGTTTATCTTCCAGATTAACATTAGGTTTATCATAAAAATGTATCTTGGTGATGTATCGTTACGTAAAGGCTTATAACATGTCATCCTCTTAGCATTTGATTGATTCATTTGTTTTTATTCTTTCATTTTCTTTAAAAAAATGCAATCATTATTCTTTTTTTCTTTAACCCTCAGGGCTGTTCAAGGGCCTTGTGTATATTGAGACATGGCCCCACTCCTAAGATTAGTGTTTGCACCATGCTGGGGTTGTTGGCTCGATACACAGCTGGGATAAGGTATGCCATGGAGTTACATGTTCAGCAGAGAGGCACTTCAGAAGCTTGTCAAGCTGAGGATGATGACACCAATCAGTCTGTCTCTTCTATTGAGGAGGACTTTGTTACTGCTTTCGAACATCTTGAAGAGGAGCATACAGGTAATAAAAAGGAGAACTAGCAGCTGCTCACAAGCATTTTGATATATGGTTACTGGTCACTAGCTATCTATGCTTCTCATTCAAAATAGCTAAACGATTTTCATTTTTAAATGCACTACTGTTCAAAAGTTTAGGTTCAGTAAGATGTTTTAAAAGAAATTAAGATGAACTTTTATTTAGCAAAGATGCACTAAATTGATCAAGAGGGATAGTAAAGATATTTATTATTTCAATTTTTTTAATGCTGTTTGGAGAAAAAAAGTTTTTTTTACATTGATAAGAATATTTCAGAATGTATCAAATGTTTTTAGAATTTCTATCTTGTCTAGTTGAAATGTTTTATATAATAATTAAATTCGTATTGATTGTGATATTGACCTTGTGTTACCATGTAAATAGCCATAATGCATAACATGATGTTAAATACATAATAAATAAACACACATCAACATTGATAATGATTCTTGAGAACCAAACAAAAATGATTTCTGAAGGATCATGTGACTAAAAAAAATATACAATAAAAAAACATTAAAGTTAAATTTGCAATATTTCACAATATTAAAGATTTTTTTGTAATGCAGTGTCGGTGAGCATTTAAAAGATTTCTTTTCAAAACGCTAAGAACCACAAACTTTTGATTGATAATGTAAATAAATAAAATAAGCTTTTATTTAAAAACAGGAAGTATTATGAAGTAACCTTAATTGAAATTGAAATATTGAAATAGTTGCCTATGATAATACAAATTCTGTTCTTACGAACTGTTCTCTGATCTTGCAGGTGCCCATAGTCAGAGGAACCAAAGGGATGTGGCATCCCAGACAGTCCCTTACACCCATTTAAAAGACTTAAGTGGATCTCGTATTATTATAAGTTCCATACCCAGGAAGTCAGTGCCCAAGGGAAAGACTGCTGCAGAAGTGTCAGAAACGGTCCTGTCAACAGTGTGGCCTGAAATTTCAGAGATCTCGTATGAACTTAGCAGTCTGTCAAAGGGACGTGTTACCTCCACATCCCTCACCGAGTCAGATGATTCAGACTGCTCAAGTCCCAGTCCAATTATATTCCTGGATGAAGTTGGATATCAGAAGAGTCTTAAAGCAAAACTTGACATTCCCAAGATCCCCATTCTAAAGGATGGAGTAGAAGACTCTGACTCAGAAGTCAGTGAATTTTTCGACAGCTTTGATCAGTTTGATGAACTAGACCAGTCATCTGATTCCAACATCAAGGTCCTTAAACAACATCCCCTCCCTGGTCAAACAGAGAAGTATGTTGACAACTCTGGATGTAAATTTGTATCAAGGGGGTGCTCGACCACAGCAATGAATCCTCACAAGTTTGATCATAGGACTCTTCCAGCCAATGTCAAGAAACCAACTCCACTTAAACCAGGATCACCGTACAGTATTCACTCTGAATTACCAGATTCCCCACGGCCAGCGAGGACTCCCTGCGAGGAAAGTGGGCCTCTCTTCAGTCCAGTTCGTTCATCTGCATTTAGCCCACTGGGAGAAGGAGGGTCCTTAGAGTATTTTTGGAAGGCAGATGTTGATGGCTCAGAATTACGTAAACCACAGGACCTTTGCTCACTGTACAAAACGTACGCAGATTTTGCCAACAACCTGTCAAAAGAAATCCTTGGATCGGTCTGTGGGTACTCCTCCCCTGTTGATTTTAACATTAATAAGAACTTGAGCTGTGTGTGTCATAAGGAGTTCAAAAACACTAATGGGCATCTAATGAAGCTTTCAGACATCCAGGAGACAGTCACCATCACTAAATCCCAATCACAGTCTCTTAAGGATGGGATTCAGAGGTTTGCTACAGACTTAGTCGAAATGAGCCTTGGAAGTGCCTTAAGGGACTTGCAGAAAGGTGTGTCCTCCTGTACCACCACACTTTGCCATTTGGCTGCAAGGCTGACATCTTCAGTATTTCAAATGGCCTTTCATGAGATAGGAATGCGCCATGCATACGTGTTAAAAGAGCGTGCCGTAAACGGTCTAGCCGGTTTCCTTGTAGGCGAAGCCATTTCTGGAGCCCTTAAAGAGTTTCTGTTTGTGAAAAAGCAGATTTTCAACAACACTGTCACACGATTTGCTGCAGATCTTGCTGAGGAATTAGTGTTTGAAGGAATTATGGAGGTTTGCCAGTTTTCACATCCCTCGACGTTACTCACGCCAGGTAACTGGTCGTTCGACGAAGAGGAGGAAGTGGTTTCATCCTATGCCTCTGATCTGTCGGAGTCTGTTCTCCAAGAGGCTTTTATAGAGCTCTCACAAGCCGATGTGACATTCACTACCCAGGCAGCTATCAGTGTGTCGGTTGACAATATTTGCTACGTGAGTGCTGAAGATAGCTCTCTCATTACAAAAACCTGCAGTGCCCAAACAAGCTATCTTGGATCTCAGGCTGTCGCAGAGGTTTCAAATCAAGAGCAGGATGGTTGTACAGTGAAGAAAGCTTTGTATTGTGTGTCAGGTATCGCCAGTTGTGTTCCAGTTCCTGTGGCTGGCAATGTCATATCCCATGTACACAATTCAGACGAACCTTCTCAGTATAAATCCAGTATTGGTCATGTGTGTCAGACCAGCCCTAAAAGAACCATTTGTTGCCAAGTGGAAGTAACATCATCAGCCTCAGATACGTCTGCAAGGACTGATTCATCGCCAGGTCCTGCAAGAATCCAGGATTCAGCCAGTGATGAGGAAATTGTTGACAGCATGTCTGTTGAAACTGATTCTGGGAAGCCCTCGATTGGAAAAACTTTTCAAAACTTCTCTGGAAATATGGTGGACACTATAGTAGGTGAGGCATTTGATCTAGTGAATTCTTCGACAAAAGTAAAGAAGAAAGTAGAGGACTGTGCTGACTTTTTGAGCAAAACAATCGTAGCTCGCATATCCACTCCAAGCCATGGAATTGTTAAATCACATGTGTCGACTCAGAGAGGTTCCCCTCAGATTCCCTCTCACTTGGTGTCAAAGGGCTCTAGTGACCCATCCTCCAGAAGTGCATGTCCAGTAACCAAACTCACCCCAGAGGTCCGTTCTGTCGTGAGAAGGGACACATTGGAAGTGCCCAGATTTGAAATTGGCTCCTGTGGTGGTAGAAAAGTAGGTGCAGATGATTTTTCAAGCAGCACCTCTGGAACGAAATCAGTTGAAATCCCTAGCACTCCACCCTCGAGTCCTCAGCAGCCATCAGATGAGCACAGTGAGAAGCAGATCAGACAGTTCTCGAAGAAGCTCAAAGGTACGCTTGCAAAAGAATTTTCTCCTGCGACTCCTCCATCAACCCCTTATTACCCGCCTGCCACCGACACAAAAGAATCTGGTTCAGTTTCAGACAAGGCTGATTTCATGCTGAAACTCATTAGATCTCTCTCTGAAGAAGCTGGCAGCAATGAAGACGACGAGGAGACCCAGAAAGATGGTCCACACTCTAGAAACTGCCAGTCAGAGCTGAGTCCCAATGTCAGGAGCAGAATGTTTGAGAGGAGTGCGCTCCATTATGCAGAGCGTTTAGCGTGCCACATTGTTTCCATGGCAACTGAGATGGACACACTAAGCCTTGGAGATGTAAAGAACGCCGAGGGTGACCAGGGCAAAGGCAGCGTTGCCTTACACAGCGCACAGTTTTCTGAACAGACTTTGAATTCTTTGTGGACATATGCTGGAGAAGTGGCTGGAGAAGTCATCAACGATGTCAAGAGGATGATGAGTTCAACCCACTGTCGTCACAAAACGATGAAAAGAGGATCTGTAAACTCTGCTGACAAGTGTCAGAGTGGAGACGGCCTTTTGGGAAATTTGACTTGTCAATGGTCTGGTGACGTCCAACCAAGTGGGATGTCATCAGATTATCCAAGTTGCGAGAGTGTCACTGACGAATATGCAGGATACCTCATTAAGGTGCTCAAGAAAGAGGGAGGCAACAGAGAGCTTATATTGGATCAGTATGCCACCCGTTTGGCATATCGATCTATTAAATCTGGCCTGGCTCATGCGGCCCGAAAAATAAAGCAGAGATATCCTTTGAGGCTACACTCCTCTAGGCGTTTACACAATGATCATAGTCCTGATGTTTCTCAAAGTCCTATATCCAAGTCATCCCACACTGCACTTGCTGATGGAAAAGATGGATCCTCTTGCGAATCTCTGCCATGTGCTTGTCAAGATGGTCAAAACATTAGCAGTAACGAATATGTAGAACTTGTGAACTTTGCAGAATCTCTTGCCTACAACATCACATGTGATGTTACGAGAAAGCTGAGAATGTCTTCAGTTAGACTGCCTAAATCGCTGACTGATTCTTGCCTCTACAGGAAGTCCAGTGTCGGGGACATGCCCGAAAGTACGTTTTCATTCTCTCTTTTAACGTACGCAGAAACTAACAGGCTGTATCATAGTACGAGCAGCTTAAATGATAGCAAAAGCAACAACAGTGTCATGCAAGTCATTGAACATTATGCCAGGAAAATTGTTGATGATACATTGGAAATGACGCTGGGGCCGGCATGTGTTCCGGCAGCTGGGGATAGGAGGGCACTTGAACCTAATTCCTTCACAGAAAAGCTGGCTGAGGCATATCAAACCTGCCGATACTGCCAAGGTCGAGAATGTCTGTTTTGCAGTAGAGATGGGCGTCATGGTTTCCAGGGATTGAAAATCAGAAGGCAACAAGAATCTGATTCAGTGGCTGGACTGGAAATTCCTAGAATTCACATTGATTTGGAGAAGAGAGCTGCTTTTGCTGAAGAAATGGTCTCCAGTGTCATTGAGAAAGCCAAAAAGGAGCTGAGCTGCACCAGCTTAAATGCAGACAGTGGAATTGGTCATGATGGCGCAAGCTTCGCAGAAAGTCTGACCACAGAGATTATGACATCCGCATTGTCCAATGTCTGCCAAACCGTCAATCTTGGGTAAAGTGACACCGTTTTCACAGGGCCATACATAGTCTATCAATTAAAATTGCTCATCCATAGATTTCCTAGATTTTGAAACTTTTTTTGTTGTATTTCCTCATCATGATTGATGACTTACTGTGTTTCAGTACTCCTAGAAGGGATGGCGTCAATGTGACGGAATCAACAGTGAGTCAACAGCTTAGTTTGAGTGTTGGTGATGACAGTCTTGGTAGTTGGTCCAATCTGAGTTTTGAAGAAGACCACCCAGATGAGAGCAGCAGCTTTCACCATCTAAGTGACAGGTGAACAAGTCCCACCACACTTACAAACTTACAAAGTATTAGAGGAAGCATTGCTGCTCGACTAATACCGCACTCAAGTTCAAAGCACTTTCTTTTCCTGTGCACCTTTCACAAGCATGTGGCTCTAATCATTGTGAAAATAATGATCTGGTGAATTAACAGTGGAAGGACTGCCTTTGTAGTGACCTGACCATTGCAAACCCTCAATGCAATATGTAGAGAGATCTGTTTGAAAAGCTCAGACTGAATTAGAGAAGTAGTGTCAATGTCAGGCACTCTTAAGTTGTATAGTAGTCTAAGTCTGTATTTAAAAAAATGTGTAGTCATGATTGGTTTTCAGCTGAGATAACTTGACTGTATTCACATTGAGTTTAGGTTGTGGACTAGAAGAGCCTACTTTATGACTCATCATTGCTAAAGAACATTTATTGTTCTCTTTATTTCTTTTATACACCAACCATTTTATAATTTATTTGACGCCAGAGTTGCTGATTATCTCACCATTTTCCTAAATTGCTGAAAAACACCTAGTGCCTTGTCCAGATGAGCATTTTGGGATATTGTTTTACATTCTCAGAAAAATGTTAAATGTCTTTGGCTTCAAAACACGATGACTGACTCACACTGTCTTGTCTTTCTAAGGCAAGCATTGTTGAGTATTGTTTTTGGCTGCAGTGTCTCAATGGAAGCAATTTCTATCAACATTTTAATATGTCCCAAGAAACTGAACGTTAGAATGTATGAGCAATTTTTGTTTTGTACATCCCAAGATACCATGAATGTATCAACATATTTGTGAAAGGTGTGGTTGTCAGCTCGAGGCAGTGTTTCTTGAGTTACTTAGAAACTCCATAAATTCTCAGTGTGTCCAAATATAGATGATAGTTAACACTAACAGTTTTCTTTTTTTTAGTTTCATGTCCTCAAGTACTGTATTAATCAGTTAATTTTTACATAACGTGGTTAGGGTCTAGTATTTCTATCATTTATGGTCACATGACTCAGTGTTAAAGAGTTTGAGTGTTTATAGAATTTCTGCATTCAGTAGTTTTTGAAAAACACCTTTGGTCAAAATTGATATTTAAAATCCGAAAACAAACACACCCCTACCCCAAAATGATCTCGCCCCTAATTTGATAGCTCCACCCCACATTTACGTACGCAACTGTAACCCAGGCAACGACTATGGCGGAATGTGCTCTATGTGCCAGCCGAGGGTATATGTCATCAATAAGTGAAAGCAATGTGTTACTATGGTAATCCATGTCAAATGTGTGTTTTAACGAGTCAATGGTTCCTCTCCGATCGCGTGGGTGATTGAATCGATCGATAATGCGAAATTATTTTATTAATCGTGCAGCTCTAAGCTCTACTATGTTTTATGTCTTGCATGAAACATTTTGAAACTAATGGGTATGAATGGTGTTTGGTTGAAAATATGGTTCTTCTGAAATAAATAATAAAACCACCCTTTAAATCAAAAAGCAAATAGATTAATTTCAACATAATAAACATTAAAAACATTAATATCACAGTTCCAGGTAGGTTTTCTAGTTTTGCATAGAAACTATTTTGTAGTGTTTCTTCTCTTTCTCTCCCTCAGCAGTAATGGAAACAGCAGTAGCTGGAGCAGTCTGGGTTTAGAAGGCGAGGTTTATGAAGAACATTTGTCCTTCTCTCCATCAGACAGGTTGGTCTATGGAAAGAGGTGTAGCATAGCCAGCGTGTCGGCTCTAATTACTGCATGATGTCATTGCAGCTTTTAATCAGCAAATGCTGATAAAGCGCTGACAAGTTTCTAACATTACCTATTAGAAACAAAATGCCCCTTTGTTCTCCATCCTGTGTTTGGAATTAGTCAATTGAGTCTTTGTGTTGTGTTGGTAGTATTGTGGGTGTAGGAAGTGTTTGGGTTAGGTCATTGACTTCATAAGTGTTTTGTGATGTAATTTCTAAAGAATAATCTATCTGTTCTTACTGCATGCTTCCTGTTTGAGTGAAAAAGGATGTCCCAGTTCCCAATTCTCATTAGAGTTCAGGTCCACAACTTGAATCACGTTCAAGTCCAAAGTGACTCACTCCATACAAAAGCAACAGAGATTTAGAATTCTTTATAATTCATTACATCATACATGGGAAAAATATATGAAAAGCTTATCTGAAACAAAAAATATTCCCCTGCATTTACAACCAGAAATGGGCATTGTGTCATGATTGTTTACTACTTGTTTTAAGAAAAAAAGAGCGATTTTAAACTTATATTGGAAAAATTCTCACCCAAATTATAATATATTTGATTTATCTGACAATATTGCAAGTTATCATTTGTAAAAGTTTATATTTAATACGGATTCCTTCGTTTCATTACTCCAGTCTTTAGTGTTGCATGATCCTTCAGAAATCATTTCATTCTAATATGATGATTTGCTACTCAAATAACATTTCTGATTATTATCAATGTTGAAAACAGATGTGCTGATAAACATTTGTGTGGCAACTGTGATGCATACCTTCATAATAGTTATTCTTGCTCATTTAATTTAAACTTGTGCTAGTCAATGTTCATCCAAATCAGAGCTGGACAACAAATATTTGTAATATACTGCTGATTTATTTGCCAATATTAAATTAAGTAATATTTTGTGAATTAGGTAGAAAAGGTGTTTCCCCAGATTTCATAAATATCAGTCTGAAAAAATATTGAGAATTTTTTTTAGCTATAATACCTCACCCCAAATCAGTTGTTCAGTCAGAAGCATCAAGAAAAACATCTTGAAAATACTGTTGCGTCAATATCCCTCAGCAAGTCATAAATATGCCATGAATTCTAGTTGAAACTGTTATGGAGCTGGTTTATGTGAGAAATGGGAATGCTGGGAGCCTCTATCACTCCTCTCTTGCATGTGGTTTGTGGTGTCTGTCAGTAAGACTGTCTTACACCTGTGATATTTTTCAACTTACAGTGACTGCACTGAAGAGAAAGAAGCTGAGGCCAAAGAGGATTCAGGCGGTAATGAAAACTATATCTCTTCTTTATATTTTCCTCTAACGCTAGTGTTTGTTCTGTGGTCTGATGTTAAACCTCAACTGTTAAACTAATTTCAGCCCTTATTTTGCTGCCACTCATTTAAAGTGGTCTTACTTGGCCAAGCACCTTCAGTGTGCCCCTGTCAAAGCCACAAGACTATTTATCCTCGTTCCTAGTTGTCTAACTGTCAGACCGGCTCCATGTGGGTCAACAGATGAGCTCAAGCAGAGTTCTATGTCTGGCTTAGTTAGAAGAGAGAGTGTGGGAAACTGGTTTGCTGAAGTAGACTGTGATGATTTTTGTGTATGTCTGAGCTGAATGTGTGTGGTTTGTATGTGCAGGAGCGGTACGGGATCATGGACAGGCAGAAAGAGCTCTGCTTGTGGTCAGTACCGATGTCCAGGGGGGGACTGTGGACCCCCAGCTGACGGCTGTGCTCCAGTGGATCGCCGCCTCTATCGCTGATCTGTCTTTAATCAGCTATTACTCAGCAGGCCAGGAGCTCCTCCAGGTGAGAACCCTTTGGCCATGGCAGGTCAAATCCGAATATTTATGTATGCAATCTAAATTGTTGGCACGTGGCGCTCTTGTGCATTGGCGCCCGTGGCAATGACTTTGCCTTGGTTGGCATACGGCTAAAACAACAACAGCAATGAATGTGAATGGGTTTTCAATAAAGATGTTGTCTTATTTACAACATGGCAAAACTGCGCTAGACTACTTCATCTTCTGAGGCGGTGGCAGAAATGTAAATTCCGGTATGCGCAGCTTTATTCTGTGCTGTTTGTTATTCTGTCACATTCTTGAGTTTGATATAAAATGATGATGTATAAGTTACACAAATTTTGAGCAAATTACTGCCTAATTAGGATGTATTGCTATTGGAATATGCTACTTAGCAGATCAATAAAACTGGCTAAACCCCCACAAATCTTCGGCGAATTAGCCTGATTGGCTTTTACGGTAACGTCACAGTGCCATTTGATTGTTTATTACCTTGAAACATTTGAGTGTTGACCAACTGTGTATGGTATGATTATTATTTTGAGCTTTTACAAAGTAATAACTTATATTGTTCATGAACGTGTTTGTGTTTCCATAATAATACATCATAAGTGGATACAGTAAGTACATAAAACAGTTCAACATGGAGATAGATGGAAACAAAAAACTTTTCTACTACCCGTTTTCCCCTCTCAGACACAGTATATAAGTGTGTAATTTACTCAAATGCCTTTCCTTTTGTATATATTTCAAATGATTTTTAGATTTATAACTTTATTACCTCTGAAGACATTATGACTGTAACAAAAGATTTGTGCAGCTGATGCTCTTTTGGTCATGAACAGCTCGTGCTCCATGAGCGTCCAAACCTCTGGTTGCAGAACAAACCGCATTAAAGGCACACTATGCAGGAATTCCGTTTTTGTCAAACAATGACCCCTAGAGTCGCTCTAGAGTACTTGTATTTAATGCTACTGTCGTAAGTACCACTCACGCAGAGCGTCTCTGCCATAGGCTGGTCTCTGCACTCACAGCCTGATACCCATTTGAAGCTGTTATAATAATGTACAAATCTTGCATAGTGTTTATTTTTTTTGCTTTAAATAAGAGATCTAGCGCAAAAAATTTTTTTGAACTCAAGCTGAGCGCTCGTGTCTGCTGCTACCAGTGTCATGGATACATTATGTTTCTTGTGGCGGCGCGTGCACAGTCTTCACTCGGACGCGCTCTTCAATCTATCGCAGTTGCAGAGCCTCCTATTCATTCCGGTGAAATCACAACATAAAATGCACAAAAACGTGTCCCTGCTTGATATAGACTGTAACCACTGATGAACATATTTAGTTTTGATGAGAGAGAAAAAACTTAGTCATACAAAAATCATACACGGGAAAAATATATGAAAAGCTTATCTGAAACAAAAAATATTCCCCTGCATTTACAACCAGAAATGGGCATTGTGTCGTGATTGTTTACTACTTGTTTTAAGAAAAAAAGAGCGATTGTAAACTTATAGGAGAAAAAAGAACTCGAACAAAACGTGCGGATTGATACATTTACATTTACAGGTTGAGCAGAGAGACTCATACTCTTTTCCTTTATCTAGTCTCTTCAGACAGCGTTTTCTTTGCTTTTTCCACCGTCGAGTATCACGTCTGAAATGCGCGCAAGTGTTTTCGTGCTTCATGATGTTGCTTCTCCTTGCCGTAAAAAGCATGTTGTGATTCTCGCGAGATTTGTCGGGGGCTCTCCTCTCAAACTTGCATTGCTGGTTTTTCCAGCAGCGTCCCCCCCCAAGCTTTACTATCAGGATGATTCGCGGTACAATGAGTTTGTTTACCAGCGAAATGACTTTGAAGCTGTTATATTAAGGTACAATTCTTGCATAGTGTGCCTTTAAGTATTACTATAGTTATAAAGTTATGTGTAGTATATAGCAAGTTATCAATTAATTGTTTACCATTTAGGCAAATTCCATAAGGTTTCCTTTGGTTTCTTTAATTTTATTGAGGCCTTTGAGATTTTGATTTTGTTGGTGATATGCTTTGTCATTAGTTTTATGAGCTCTTTTTGTCTCATAACTTGAGTTTGAGTACATTAATATAGATTTAATTGCATTTCAGTCTGAGAGTAAATACATACAAATCCAGAGTATCGTATTACATCACATTACAGCTCTATCAACCAACTCCATCAGTATGTTTCCTGACCAAAAGTTTAGCTTCATTTCATGTGGGTTTTTCTCTGGTTCCAGCTGCCGGCCGTGGCCCAGAGGCTGAAGGAGAGAGAGTTCAGGGTTGCCGACCTTCTGCAGGCTCTGCTGAGATACTTTGAAGAGTGCCGCACCGAGGAAGAGCACGAGGCTGGAGACACGAGGCAGGGTCACAAGAGCCTCTTCCAGTGGCTCCTAGAACAAGCGTAAATCCCCATCACACACTGACACCCGTCAGCTATTAAAGATGAAGTTTCCTGTCACTTTACAGTGATCTGCAATTTATCTGCCAAACCTAGAGGCATAGCCAGTGGAATGTGTTTGTGTTGTGTATTGCTTGTGCACCAGTGTCCACCCAGGGGGCGCCATATTGAAGTCTACGAGCAACTGAAATAATCTAAGAGCCGTTCTTTCAAGTGTGTGTTTTGCATGCCGTCACCGAGAGTCCCTTTTGCTTGCTTTCACCTCTCTTTTTATTGCCACATTGTTTTCTTTAAGATTAGACTGCATATCACACGTTTGGCACACCGTCAGTGAGTTTGGCTTTCACACCTTGCCACAACACAAAAAGACTGATGGGTTGGTTTGTTGTAAGGGAATCCCCATGGCTGCAGGAAAGCTTATGTCATCTTTATATCTCTCCTTTACGGTGGTGTTTGCACTTGTTGAAGGGACCAGCCATGCAATCCAGCAGGGCTCCGGGTCACCGGAAGGTATTCCATTACACGTAACGCAAAGTGAATCACAGTCTGGGTGATTATAATAATTACCTAAAATTATATTTACCCTGTTTAGCACATTTTTGGCAACAATACTTACCAGTCAATTCCATTGGCAATTAGACACTAAATAGTTGCTGTTGAATGAATCCATCAGTATGTAGTCAATTTTACATTCCCCTGTTGTGATTCGGACGTTTTTTCCAGTCGTTATTTCTAAATGATAAAAGTCCTTTAGCTATGTACATTCATAATAGTTCAAAATGAATCGGTATACCTGTAAATATGCTTTTCTTTAAGTTAAAATGAATTGTTTACACCAGAGGCTGCAATTAGACTGCAGATGATCATAAAGATCACTAAAGTGTGGAGGGGTTTGTGTGGCCAACTTACAGAAAAACACAAATATACTTTCAAGCCTATTTTAAAAAGCTGCTAAACATGTAAACCCCATTTTGCCATAAGAGGAAACTCGCAGTAAGCTTCTTTTAAAACTATTTAACGTTCTCTACAGGGGACTTTTCTCTAATTTCCTCCTGGCATTGTACACTCATTGAAGGTTACTGTGACGCACTGGTAGTGCATTGCTAAATGAGGATGCCTCTGCAGTGAGTATATCTGAACTAGTCACCACGTCTACGTGGACCTTCTATACTCACTGCCCGCCCTTTAGTGTGCACTACACCGAATATTGCACTTTCCCTATATCTTTGTTTAGACCTCAAAAAACAATCTTTATTATTGCAATGCATAAGCGATAGATCGGCAACAGCTTGTAGGAGTTTGTCACGTGTAACTTATTAAGCCTCAAGGGACCTGTATGAAAATTATTTGCACTGCAGTTTTGTGCTTTAAGGAAAACTACTAATTTTCTACTTGCTCATGTCAGTCTAAATGTAACATGTATGTTGCTTTGGGTTTTTTTTTTTTTTCGCAACACATACAGTTTGGTAGAATCTTAACACAGCTATTTCCACAGAACAGTAATTCCTAGTGACTATGACTGCCAAGCTCCAAAAAGGGAAAATAAATAGAAGTAGTCAATACAACTTGCAACCAGTATTCTAAATATTCAAGTCTTCGTATGATAGTTTTCTTTATTGAATTTTAAATTATCTAGCCCACATTTGGGTCAAAGATTGAAATAATTTTGTATTATGTTCAGTTATTAAACAATCACAAGATCCTTTTTGAATGTATGATATATAGATGAGCTTTGAAAAAGTGGATGATACATGTGACCTAATGGTAAAGAAAAATAGAGAGATTGTATGGCTTCAGAAATCTTAGAATATTGCACACAAGTTTCTTTTTTTTTTTCTTTTTTTTATATATATAGTGTAGAAGTGCATTGAGATTCTTCAAAAAGTCTGCTTTTGTGTTACACTGAAAAATAAAAGCATATGGATTCGTAACAGAGCCCCGCACATGACATGCAGGAAAAAAAAATCTGTATATTGAGGCCACAAATTAACAATTCGTTCCCATGATTTAATAATGCGTCAGCGCGATTTACTAATTCGTTCCCTCGTTTTTTTTATCTTTATAAATCGCACGCACAATATAATAATTTGTTCCTTCGATTTACTAAATCGCGGCCACAAATTTGTTCCTTTGTTTTAGTTGACTCCAACTGAAGGAACAAATTACTTCAATGTGGCCTTGATTTACTAAAACAAGGGAACAAATTACGGTAATAAATCGTGGGAAGGAGTTCTTTATTCACGGCCATGGTTTAACTCAAACGAGAAACAAATTCTTAATTCATGGCCACGATAAATATATATTTTTGTCCGGGGCTCCGCAGTTTGGAACAACAATATGTGCGAGTAAATAATGACAGACTTTGGTTGACCTTTTCCATTTAGTTTTATTGACATGATTGCTCAGATACTGTTACAGTGTGATTTAATGATAAGAGAAACAATATGAAGGCAATCGGAGTTGTAAAGATCGTTGAATACGTTTCTTTCATGTCTTTGCCCTGTAACATGCATGATGCGCTTTCAGTCCATGCTTCATGTACTTCTCTTTACGTGTGCATGATGCCGATTCATTATCTTGTGCATGGTTTCAAACTGGCTGACACCATATATGCTCACACTACCTACTGCAATGAAAAAAAAGAGTCATTTCTGTATTCATGCTGTTATAACTTCAGCGCTGCCAAATATAGTTGGTTCTGCACTTACATAGTATTTGTTCACATTCTTTTGAAATGTTTTTTTTTTTTAAAAACACAAAAAAAAAACCCCTGCCATACACTGTTGAGTTGGACATTTTCATATGATAGCTGTATCACTTAAACCATAATGTGGGAGGCGCAAAAGAAGTTTAATACTGTATATGAACATTGAAGCTTGAGTAGATTTTAAAAAAACAGTTGGCACAAGTATGCCGTGACCATCAGCGCTGCCTCATTATTAGTGGGATTGTACATGCATCCGTGTTCTTGAAGTAATTGTAAACATTAGTGCTGTAGATGTTCTGCCCTTGTGTTCTTATTCACCTTATTTTTGTGTACATTCCTATCATTTACAAATGATCTATAGCTATTTTGTTAAGTAAGGCTACATGTATAATGCAAAGTTCACACCATACTCAACAGATGAATATTTTGTTACTTGTGCAGTGTTTCTCCATTCTCTCTCATAGTATAGTGGGAAAATGATACACAGTGACTTCTCTATTTTTTTCCTGCCCATTTGTATAATCTTGCCAAAAAAGTTATTTAATAATTTATGTAAGTATAAGTTGCGATGGTGAATACACTACTTGTCCCCCCAGTGAAGTTGCTGAGTAGTTTACACATGATTAAAGCTTAATGCACTACACCTGTACACTGTAAAAAGCTGTGGGTAATAAAGCTTTTTCATTTGAATTGTAATGTGTGCTTATTAACTTTTCACATAAAAGGGATCAAGGAAGACAAAATTTAAAAATGTATTATGCTGGGCAGACTTTTAACTTAAGCGCCCAAATTTTAGAATGCAATGCCAGTACATGTTTACATAGGAAAATGGAAAGTCTGCACAGTGGAATACAAAAACGCATTCTGTTTGAATGGCCCCTAACATGACAATAAACATGTTTGCCTGTGCAAATATAGAGCTACAGTCGAGTATTACGTAGTCAAGCTAGTCTATAGAAGTATTAAAGACAATGTTTAATTGTAATGCAATTAACATGCGTACTTTCTGGATGAAGCTGAGCAACAATTGAGCTCAACGTGCTGCAACTGAATAAAAATGCATGGAAATAGAAAATTTTCATCAATTTGACAACACATGCTGCAAATACTTAGCCTGGTCCAGACTCGCGTACACATTTCATTCGTACTGAGAGTCTGGCCACTCTTCCTTGACAAGCGTTAACTTCCTTGAAGGCGGGTATTAATGGTACGTTTAAAACTATTGGCTCTGCCCAGAGTCACTCTAGATCTGCCATAATTAATCGTTAACGTTTGGTCGTGACGTATGTCTACAACTCAAACTAGCCTCAACGTCATCCTTCTCAGCCACTCCCTCTGTTGGCTGATAAAATAATTGATCGGAGAAAACCCAAGAATATACAGCAAACCCAGATGTATTACTGAAGGAAAATGAACATTGAGCGGAAGTACGTAGGAGGGCGGAGCCTGGCTAGCAAATACTCACAACTCAACCAAATACAGAAACTCGCTGCAGATACTCACAACTCAACAAAATTCAGAAACTTGCTGAAAAATACTCACAACTCAACCAAATTCAGAAACTCACTGCAAATACTCACAACTCAACCTAATTCAGAAACTCGCTGAAAATACTCACAATGCAACCAAATATAGAAACACCCTGCAAATACTCACAACTCAACGAAATTCAGAAACTCGCTGCAAATACTCACAACTCAACGAAATTCAGAAACTTGCTGCAAATACTCACAATGCAACCAAATATAGAAACACCCTGCAAATACTCACAACTCAACAAAATTCAGAAACTAGCTGAAAAATTACTCACAACTCAACTAAATACAGAAATACGCTGCAAATACTCACAACTCAACCAAATACAGAAATGCGCTGCAAATACTCATAAGACAACCAAATTTAGAAACTCGCTGCAAATACAACTCAACCAAATTCAGAAACTCGCTGCAAATACTCACAACTCAACGAAATTCAGAAACTTGCTGCAAATACTCACAATGCAACCAAATATAGAAACACCCTGCAAATACTCACAACTCAACAAAATTCAGAAACTAGCTGAAAAATTACTCACAACTCAACTAAATACAGAAATACGCTGCAAATACTCACAACTCAACCAAATACAGAAATGCGCTGCAAATACTCATAAGACAACCAAATTTAGAAACTCGCTGCAAATACAACTCAACCAAATTCAGAAACTCGCTGCAAATACTCACAACTCAACAAAATTCAGAAACCCGTTGCAAATACTCACAAATGCAACCAAATATAGAAACACCCTGCAAATACTCACAACTCAACAAAATTCAGAAACTTGCTGCAAATACTCAACTCAACCAAATACAGAAATGCGCTGCAAATACTCATTAGACAACCAAATTCAGAAACTCGCTGCAAATACTCACAACTCAACCAAATTCAGAAACTCACTGCAAATACTCAGCTCAACCAAAATCAGAAACTCGCTGCAAATATTCACAACTCAACCAAATTCAGAAACTCGATGCAAATACTCACAACTCAACAAAATTCAGAAACTCACTGCAAATACTCACAATGCAACCAAATATAGAAACACCCTGCAAATACTCACAACTCAACAAAATTCAGAAACTTGCTGAAAAATACTCACAACTCAACCAAATCCAGAAACTCGCTGCTAATACAACTCAACCAAATTCAGAAACTCGCTGCAAATACTCACAACTTAACAAAATTCAGAAACTCGTTGCAAATACTCACAACTCAACCAAATTCAGAAACTCGCTGCAAATACTCACAACTTAACAAAATTCAGAAACTCGTTGCAAATACTCACAATGCAACCAAATATAAAAAACACCCTGCAAATACTCACAACTCAACAAAATTCAGAAACTTGCTGCAAATACACAAAACTCAACCAAATACAGAAATACGCTGCGGCTGCAAATACTCATTACACAACCAAATTCAGAAACTCGCTGCAAATACTCACAACTCAAACAAATTCAGAAATTCACTGCAAATACTCATAACTCAACCAAGTTCAAAAACTCGCTGCAAATATTCACCAAATTCAGAAACTCGGATCAAATACTCACAACTCAACAAAATTCAGAAACTCGCTGCAAATACTCACAATGCAACCAAATATAGAAACACCCTGCAAATACTCACAACATACATACAATCAGGATGTTAAAAAACTCACCTTTCAAAAACCTAGCATTAAGAGTAAAATATGCGTAAAGCTTGTACAGCTTGCAAGTGAGTTGTATTCCAATCCGCATGTGAAGACTAAAATATAATGTTTGCATAGTAGCAGCAACTTAGGGCTCTTAGGGTCAGTGAGGGGAAGAAGGTCTGGAAAATCTCAGAAAAACACTTTTCTAACATTATGAGCTGACCTCCAGAAGAATAACAAAGAAATTAGATAATATTCCTGTAAGCAAAAGCTGTCAAGTATTGTTTTCCACCCAGTACTGCCACTCCTTACTGTAACTAAAGCTGGAAAAATGTGCTATCCTCCGGAGCTGAAACAACAGATTTGGTGTTTGTTAGACAGAGATGAGGTTCACAGTAATTTCAGGCTTTGTAATGACATGCTGGCAAAAGAATGCAAAATGGCAGCAAGTCTGACAATAGAGCAGATTCAATGAATCGCCCATTAAAACACTAATGAAAGCCCTCGTTGCTGTCATCCACACCCAGCCTTCGCACCATTACACAAGGTGGCTCTCAGCAGCATTCAGCCAACCCAAGCAGAGACCCATTGACTTTATAAGGTTGGCCTCACGTCCCAACTGGTGTGGTCTGACATCAGAGGCTTAGTCTTGGACTGGAATCCCCCCTTTGGGTCTGCCATGATTCAGACCATGATATCACTTCCTTCCCAACCCGAATACAATGGCTATGTTGCTGGGTGAATCCTTTGTGGAGGAGAAGCGACTCTGGCATTTATGACATATGGTAAATAATCTCCACCTACCTCATTCTTAATGCTTTCTATTTTGTCTCCCCAATAAAAGACTTAATGAATGTTTTGTTCAAAATAAAACTTCGCTTAACCACACACATTTGGAACGTGTTCAGTTTGCATCACTAGCAGCACCAGATGTATGTTTTCTTAGTGGATTTTGACAAATCACATTTGGCTAAGCGCTGACACGCAATAATTAGCACACAGTCCAATGCGACGGTCAAGCTGCCGTAATTTATCGTCGAAATTCTGATGACAGCTGGGTGTAGAAAGTCTTTCAGATTCATTTCCTCCATTCATAAAGGGTATAAACAGTCATAAAATTTATTTCTCATGGCACACTACATTTCATTTCGACATAAATACAATGGCTGCCACAAAAAACCCGGTCAATAAGGTCAAGTCAGTGCAGTGGCGTCTTGCATATTATAGGTTGGTCGGAGAGATAGATAGCAATGTCGTGAAGAGATTCCAACAACCACCCGATTTGTTTCAGCCTTTTAGAACACGAACCAGATGACATTTGACCATCACAATATAGTTGTCACCCAGCACCTTTCATGAAATGAGCGGGACGGGAGTCAGAGACTCTGCAGGACGGCTGCAAGCTGACACCCCGTGCCAATCTCTCTGAATCTATTAGCAATTTATTTCCATTCGTGACCACAGCCCATTGTTTTACCTCACAGCAAGGAGTATCAAGTGGCCGTAACCAGGACGTCTCAGACAACACGACGACGCACATGGCAGTGGTTTCAGTTGTGTTTGTGGGCTGAAACAGAACTCTCGGGTGGGTGGTACAGGGCTCTCCCACAGCTCTGAGCAAGCAATGTTGGCCCTGTTTACCATGGAATCGTCCCACGCTGGGAGAGCATCAGCTTCAAGAGGTCTTCGAGACCCCTCATTCACTCAAGAAGCAGCTGAGTCATTTCAAAATATCAGTGTTTACTGGGGCTTTACATGAGAAAGTGACCCTTTGCTGCTGTGGAGAGGACTCAGTGTTTCCCATGGTTGAACATGTTTTTATTCAAGTGACTGAAAACACATTAATCACATGTGGGTGAGAAAGGAAACCTTGTTTTAGACACCGGACTTACATCAGTTTGACATATCATAATATCAGTCCTTTGATATTGATGCTTCCTGTCTCCTGACTCATACATAATATGAAAAACAGTCGTCTATCATGACATCAACTTTCCTGTAGTCATCCTAGTTGTAATACCAAAGGGCAAGTACCTCCATGTTGACATGGAAATGGTGCGGATTAGATTGGGGAGGAATCTCAAATAAATGAGGAGTCGCTCAGTCACCGTATGAATAATGTCTCCAAAAATTGGAGTGAATAACCAATAATGCATTATGTGGCAGCCGCAAGTTGTACCATCTTCACAGTGGTAATACCTTGGTCAGTAGGGCAGGAACTCGTTGCCAGCTGGTGAGCTCTAGAGACGCGGGCCGGGAAAAACTGTCAGCGGCTTAAATGGGCAGCGCTGTGGCTACTTGAATTAGGCCTTAACTAACGGAAAAACAAGCAGGAAGCTGTTTGTGGGGAGTGCAGGAAAAGGCAGTGAGGCAGTGCTAAACTGGTGACATGCGGCATGTTTCGGTTTTGAGAGGAGTTTGGATGCGGCTGTGCACTCACTGTGGAGCCAGTTGCAATTTATCTTGGGATAATAAGAGACTGGGCAGCCTCTAACTGACGGTTTAGCTGTACTGGTCT